ACATAAAATTATAAAATCCTTCTATCGAGGTGAACATGGCCAGAAGCTGCATCTCTACACTGACAATGGAACCCAGGTTACAACAACGAGCTAATGGGTAGGTGCACACAAAAAATAGCAATCATTTTGTCACCCAGAAGTACCCTGATCTTTATGGCTAGGAGATAAAAACATCCAAGTTAAAATGTAGTCCCACCCCCCAAGACTTTTTGACATCTTACAGGCTGACGTTTTCGTTTCTCGTGGTGCTTCTTCAACATCATCTTTAAATCACTTTCTCCAAGTTCTATCTTGTCTGCAATGAAAATAATCATTTGCAGTTTTCCTCTATTGTTACCTTCCACACTTCTTAGAATGCCATTTTCTATCCATTTACACTTCCAGCAATCTCCAAATTTCAGTAACAAATTTCTCCATATATGAATTTCCTTCATTCATTCATCCATTCATTTCAGTGCTTCATTCAGTCCTCAGACTTCACTGCTGATGCAAGCATGGAAAAGAAGCCAGAACCAGCTTGAACAGTTTGAAAAATTTATTACAGTCACTATAGGAGGAATTCTCAAGTATTTTGAACTGGACTATGCTAATGCTTCAACATCTAAAATATAACAGAGGAATCAGTAATATTACAGAAACTATGATTCTTGTGTTCAAATACTGGCCTTGCAAGAAGAAAAAGATTAAACTGGGAAAAGAGTCAACTATTTTGAAGACTGCAAAAATGAAGCATCACATGATTTCCCATCGAGCAATAGATTTTAAAGATGATTTCCTGCAAGGTCTCAAGGTAATTCTCTCCCCTCTAGCCATACTGACCCCCTTTGTTTGGTTCTCACCTGCAGTTTTCATGTCCAAGGTTGACAACGTGGGGATCACTCTCAGGGGAACTGGTGGACTTGAACAACGTGCTGGAGAGCGTGGAGGCCAAGAGATTAGATCTAAAATAGAGGTATAAATTTACTTCTGCAAGATCCGACACCAATCTGCTGAACTATTACCATGTGTTCATTAGATCCCAGCCAGTGGAAGTAGAGCCCAGAATCAAAAATGTGTCTTTTTCCATTCACACCTGGAGTCTTCAGTTCAGCCCAGGACATTACCTTCTTCATCAGAAGACAAGGCAGTGTCTCCACACTCCTCTTTCACTTCCCTCAGGATCTTCAAGTAGCGCCGATGTGTCCGTCTGTCTCGTTCTTCCGAGTCGTATGTTGGTGGGAAGTGCTTTCTCCTTAGAGTCATGTCAGGGCCTCCTTTCCTGGCTAATTCCAGCAAGTGCTGAAAGGAAAGATTCATGTGACATTAGCTATGTCAGCTACAGTGCTGTAAGCCAGGACAGGTAAGCCCAGCTCAGATAACTTCCAGCAAGGTTACCATGAGGTGCCATCAGCACCTCAGATCTGTACAAGGGGAACCTTAGGAAGAATCAGTATCTGCCACACACAGGATTTTAAACCTAGCATTTTAGACCATCGTTTAAAGGGGAGAAAAAAAAACCAGGTGAAATTTCTACACCTTCTTCTCCACACGTAACACTACGTGTCATTTTATGCGAACTGTTGAGAAGAACTTAAATTGGTGTGAGGTGTAGTTTCCACACAAGTATGTAACAATGTATCCTTTGAAAAAACCATTTTACTTCTCATGGCTACAGAGGAAACAACTTCCTATGTATTCCATATTGTTGTCCAATTAAGTTGTGGATGCCCCATCCTTAGAAGTGGTCAAGGCTAGGAGCAACCCGGTCTAATGAAAGGTGTCCTTGCCCATGGCAGGGGATTGGAATGAGATGAGCTTCAAGGTTTCTTCCAACCCAAATCATTCTGGGATTCTCTATTTTCCACAACATTGTAGGCCATTTTATAAAAACAGATTTTCTTCTTCATCCCTACATACCAAATGTTTCAATGTCTAAGTGTAATGAAAATAAATGAGCAATAAACACATTTCAGTTGGCAAAAATTTGCTCACAGCAGAGGAAGACTTTACCAGGGATTTGCAGGAATGAGAATCAGAGGTTTGGATGCACATATTTTCTAACTGTAGTTGCTTCAGAAATGGTAAACAAACAAAGGTAGAATGACTTGTTAAGAAAATAATAAGTTGCAAAGGTGCAAATGCAGGAAATGGGAACAAGGTGGGCATGAAAAGAAGACAGGTCACACAAGTGAGAGCTATGAGAGTTACACAGCCTGAAATACAGCAACGAGTCTATATGGCCCACTGGAAAATCCAGAAGCATTACTCATTCAGTTCATTAGAGGAAAGACCTCAGAGAACTGTGACTGCACCAAGACACTTTTAATAAAGACAAGTTATCCATCCCAGAGCACGCTCACATTGCGGGAAGCGAGGATCTGCTTGAGCAGCCTGTAGAAGTACTGCTGCTGGGCACTCAGGTAGCGCTTGTACTGCGACTTGTAACAGAGCTGCCGGTACTTCACCACCTCGGGATTGAAGTGTCCATCTGTAACAAAGACAAAACACACACTGGGTTTTCAACTGCTAGCTGAGATCTTGCCCCAAACCTGCAGGGAAGCTCACGAGGCTGACTGACCCCGGAAGAGTTTCTGGGCGATGTGCAGCGGGTTCCCAAACCGAAAGTTCTCCCCACTGAACAGCGCTGAGATGAGTTTGTTCTGATGCTCTCGGTTGTTCTCAGGGAAGTGAGGCAGAAACTTTTTTAGGTGCTCTTGCTGCTCATCTGTCAGGACCTCCTGCCATGTTGACAAGCTGACAACCTCAAAGAAGATCTCAGGCTAAAGAAAGCAAGAAACAACAGTGAAGAAAATGCAGCCACGTTTTTGACAATTTTCTAGCCCTTGATGCTTTTTAAGGGACACCAGTCATGAGACACTGTTTTATAAGACACAGGAAACAATAGAGCATAAAAATGAAAGGTCAAGAAATTGATACTACTAACAAGAAAAAAAAAATCAAAGCTTGCAACAATCTTCTTATTGGCAATTTAAAAATAATAAGAATGTAACAGAATTGATTTAAAAGATATTGTCCCGAGATTAATCAAACACTCGACACTTTTCCCAAGGCAGTCAAAAACACCTCCCCTTTCCAGTTTGCTCCATAAGCCCCAAAAAAAGGAGTTAAACACATTGCTTATATAGAGGCTATGATAAGGTGAAGTGTCTCAGCACTACTCACATCCTCCAGGAGGTCCTCAGGCAGACTGACCCGGCTGGTGCCCAGCATGCAGTCCTCCATAATCCGTGTGCAACTGCCCTCCAGCTCCAGGGGGTCTGTGAGCATGTGATCCAGGGACTCCATCCTCAAGCCCTCCTGCTCCTGGAAAACGACAGCAAAACCCTCAAAAACCAAAAATCCCAAACCCAGATACATCCATCCTGATGTGAGGAATGATGGAGGACCCACCTTTGATCAATGATTGTTTAAATGGTAGCTATGGAGTGGGCCTTCAATATCTGTGTGTGTATATATATATGTGTGTGTGTGTATGTATGTATACACACACATACATATGTATACACATCAAACCCATACATACACACGCACATATATATATAAAACACACATGGAGAAGCATGGTCATGCCAATGGAGAAGTGCTTTTCCAGACAGGTAGACTGGGAAGTACAGCTGACCCATCACACTTTCCTTCCCACCAGCAGGAACCCTTTTCAACACTGTTAAACAGACATCTAAGACTACATTTCAATCCAAAAGGCGGTTTTAGGGTGCAGAAGCGAAGGTCAGGTCTAAGGTGGGGTTTGCCTCAGGCTGAAGGTGTGATAGGGCCAGGAGCCCCGTCCCCTCCGGCGCGACACAGCCGGACCGCTCTGAGATGAGAAGAAACGCATAAAACACCCGAAATAAAGAAAAGGGGAATAAAACCACGCAATGAAACGGGTGGGACAGCGAAGAAAACAAGAAAACAGGTTTATTTCATACCCCTCACGCGGCCCGGCTGAAGGCGGAAGGCGGCGGCGCTGCCGCGCCTGCGCAAACGCCCCGCCCTGCCGAACTGCGCATGCGCGCGGCCCCGGAGTCACGACAGGCCGCGACAGTGCAGTGGCCTACCAGAGGACAAGTGTGGAAGTTCCCCTGAAAATACGGTAGTTGTGGAATGCTGAAGCCACCTATCAGTGGCAGATTTATACGTCTTGACTGCAGTCCTGTGCAGTGGATTAGCCATTGAGATGCTGTGGTAATATTACAATGAAGTGTTGAAAGGCTGAATATTTTGAATTTTAATGCAAATTTTCATACAGCAAACGGAGGTTCTTACTGTCTCTCCGTGCCTTTACCCACTGCCAGCCCCCTCCAAGGACGCACATTAACAATTTCCAGAATAACACTCATTTAATAAAATCTCGACGGGGTAAGGTGCAGGATTGCAGGTGACAGTAAGGCAATGTACTCACAAACTCTAATCTGTGCCACAACTGGGCACGCGAGAAATCAGAGTGCATGTCTTACCCAATGAGCAAAAGACAGATTCAGTGCAGAACTTACGATGGACTCTTCCCTAACTTCTCCCTGGTTTTTTTTCTTTCTTTACATTTAGGTGGAGCTTGAGTGACTCTTAGTGAGTGATTGGAGTGGATATTTCAGGATAGTACCTGAAACCACCTGGGATGGGGACAGGAGTTGCTCCTAAAGGGATTTTGCCATGGTTTGCTGATTCAACGGACATCATTCTCACCTCCCAGTTTTCAGATGCTGTGCGGCTGATCAGCTAGAAAGAACTTTTAAACTTTTACCTTTAAATTTAAAAATAGTTTTTAAAATTCCATATTTTGCAAGGGTTTCAACAGAGACACAGGGGCCCCACGCCAGTCCACTCTCCACTTATCCTCCCTTGGACTGTGTTGTGGGAGGTCAGAAATTCTGTGATCCATCCAGAGAGCAGCAAATGTATTTTCCCCTCTAACCGCTATACTGTTACCATCCCAACTATCCACACTCCACCTCACTCAGCCTCCACTGAACACCTTAGCCCAATGAACAGATTGGTCATTGCGAGTGATTTAAAAAAAAAAAGAGAAACATTTATTATTTTCAGGTTGGTTTGGTTTGTTTTTTTTTTATACCTGCCAGGCTGCACAAGACTCTGAACACAACAACAGTCACCAAATGTACAATAAACATACACAGTTAAATAAGAGATGGGGCCCGAGCAGTCCAAGAGGTGCAAGATCAGGGTGCGCAGGCTGGGATTGTTCTCGTTTTCCTCCAGAAAAATACAGAATCTGACCCAGAATGCCTCCAAGGGACAGTATCCAAGGGACAGTATCTCCAAACAAAACACAGACCTTCCAGGCAACTGAGAGGACTCTGGATTTACACTTCTGTGGGATACAACTTAGAGAGATCTTTGGGTTGCTCTGGTTTACAAACAATAATAATACATCCCATTCCTTCTGCACTGCAGAAATGGAGAAAAAAAATCCGTGCAACCTTTGCCATCTGTGCAATCACTGTAGTTCCTTATTTTGGAAAGAAATTCTGTGGTACTTCCATTTCCAGACTTGCTTCTTTCACAGGCAATTCATTCAACTCATGACACTAGGAATTACTTCACCTGGAGTCAGGCCAATAGCCCGAGGGTGCTGCTGCTGCTGCAGGGCAGAGAAACTTTGATGAGGAAATATTTGAGTTCAAAAAGGCTGTTTTAAAATGGTTTTCTGTTTTAAATAGCTTTCGCTTTTAAATAACTGGTAAAACTGTCCTCATTCATGGACCATTCCAACAAAGGTGAATAGACCAAAGTAGTTTTTAAACCCCCCATGTGCAAGATCAATAATGTGAACATATCTGATGTTTGTCTAATGTCAAACTTTTAAGATTCTTAAAATTGCTCCCACAGTCCTCCAGTATCCCAGTCTTCCATTTCCAAGTCTGCTATTTTCCTACTACTTGTTACTAAATTAGCAGCAGCCTGAAAAAAGCTATGACAAAATTCTCCCTACTCTCTTCCCACATAAACAACATTGCAAGACTCAACATTGTAATTCCAAAGTCCTCAGCAACATGAATTCAAGTTACTGGGCATTGTGGTTGTTTCTCCACATTGCCACAGTGGCTGGGCTGCCAAATAGACAGAACGTAAGGTCACTCACTCACTGCACTTGACCAAATGGGAGCTCTGCTTCATGTCAATTCTACCCTGCTCATCAGTGCCTCAGTATGGTGGTACAGCAAGAGAAGAGAAATCTTAGGAAAAAAAGTAACCCACATTTTGGCAAGTCACTTATTGGCTGGCCAGTATTGGCCAGCTGATTTATCTCAATACTATTTCCATGCCACATTAACAGACACATTAATTACCAAAGCCATGCCTGCTAAAAGGCTTTGCCCACAAGGAACCAGATTTGCTCTTGTGCAGCCTGAGTGTGGAGTTCCCTCATGCCAAAGAGCTTTAACTCCATAAAACCTGATACCACAATGTGTAGTGCTTACTGACATGGGTAATCCACATCTGAATCCATGGGAATATCTATGAAAGAGTCCCATAATCACACTCAGTGCAGTACAAGAGAAAACAAATCAAAAAAAACTTCTCAAGTTCTTCTGTCTCAACGACATCTAAGACACAGCATCCTTCTTTGTGTCTGTTTTATAAATAAATGTATCCTGATATGCACAGATGAGTTTTCCAGCAAAGAATGGAAATTCAGACATACACAGTATATCCCACCAGGAGTCAATGGAGTTGTAGTCATGTTTTTGCAACCACCAGAATGCCTTAAACAACCAAGACAACCTGTGAAGAACTATGTAAGGAAAAACCTATTACATGGCCTTAAAAGATAAACCTTCTCTTTCCCTTTCTCCTGGTCCCTAAATGCAACGTGAATTCTGTATGTAGACCAGGTTCATCACATCTGGCAACCCTCATGGATGGCTTTCCATGTTCCATAAATAGTGGTCCACTAGCATGTTTCTTGTATGTTTCCCGAGTCCATGGTTGGTTTTTTTCTGGAACTGTCGAAAGGAATTACAGTACATTGTTAACAAGGTTATTTGGAAAAAAAAAAAAAGAAACCAACTCTCCATCCAGTCTTGAAGAGGAGAAATATGTTTACTTTGAGGTGGCCACAGAGATAGTGACCCTGTCCCTTCAGAGGAGTGCTCGTATCCTCGTTTTCTCCTTGTACAACTATCTTAGATCACAGCAGAAGCTACTGTGCAGGTTTAGCTGAGCTGCTTGCCTTTTTTTTTGTTTTGTTTTTTTGTTTATAGGCAAAAAAGCAATTTTCCCTGCAAACACTGGAGGGAAAAGAAGTAACAGTGGCTCTGTACTACCCTTAGGTGCTCCTAGGACTTCAGTCAGTTTGTTCCAAACAACATGGGTTTAAGACTGTGCTTTTCTCGCTTTCTGAAACTGCTGGGTAAAACAGGGCAGGGCAGACAGCACGTAAACAGTTCTGGAGGGCTGGAATAATAATTTAATGGACTGCTTCGGCACATCTTCACAGCTTCATTGTTCAATCCATCCCCATAAAGGGACACCACGAACCACTGCTTGGCTGCTGCTGCTCCTTTCTGCAGGCAGTCTGCTCATATGGCCCAGGGACACTCCCCTTCACCTTGGCTGCTAGAAGCCACAGGAAGCAGTTCTGCCATATTCTAACAACTTACATGATGCTCTCCTCTTTAATGGCTCCTGTTAAAAATATACATACAACAATCTGCCAGGAAGCCTTCAGTTAGGCAGGCTTTCTGCCAAACAGCTGAAATAATATTGTTTGCTGGACACACTTCCAAAAAGGAAAAAAACGGGTCAGCAGACATGCCAAAAATAAAGTCCAGGGCCAGCAGAGGTTTCACTTCTCTTGTCCTTTTTCTTAAAAGCTGCATAAAAAGCATCCCAGAAGGATTCTGAGGGTATTTCATGGTCACTGTGAATTAAACCCTCTTAAAGCATTAACAAGAGCTCCAAGATTTTAGTAGAAGGTAAGTGAGCATATATATTAAAACATACAGAGCCCCAGGGTACCCCCACATCTGGGCTGTCAGGGAGGTGACAAGGACAAGCAAATGGCACCATGAGGCTCTTTCACTCATGCTCTGCTGAGAAAGTCCTGGTTTTGGAGATGTGCACTTCACTCCCGCCACTCTCATTGGTGGTGGTTGTGATGATGTACTGGGTGGTTTGCTGCTGGTTGCTCGTCTGGGATTCCAAGGGATCCGTGTGGGCTGTGGGCTGGGAAATGCCCACCTGAACCTCACTGGAGAGTGAAGAGTTTTGTTTACCATCCAGATCAGGCTGACCTTCAGATATCACGTAGTGAGTCTGCATGGGGAATATAGAAAATAACTAATAAACACTGTATCTTTTGTAACTTTTCTAATAGTCCGCCCACAGACATATTGGTGTGAACAAAGAACTTATTTAATAAGCTCTATTTCATTTAAATGTATTTGACAGCAACATAACACCTGTCTTTTGATTTGAAGGACATTTGACTTACTTGGCTTTTGGTTAATTTACAAATGATTAAACTCATTACACAATTAGATATTCACTACAGAATAAAATAGCAATTTTCAATTGCACTATTCTGAAAGGTTTTTCTCCTGTATTCCACATGTTGTAGCAGAGATTGCATTCCCAGTGACTAAGATCAACACAAGCCAATGACTTGTCTCCTTATGCTGGATTGCTTACAAGGAATAGCAGGAACTCTTCTTATTTTTTAATCTTACATATAACAGAAAGCTACTGAAATGTTTCCAGAAGCTGTTCTGAAATTTGGTTTAATGGATACAGCTTAATCATCAATATTTTTAAGACTAAGCAGTACCACTAAATAATTTTGTTCTGCAAATGTGATTAAGTGAAGATGTTAAACTGAAAGGAGTCACACGTACAAGAGCCAGATAGCATGAACCTTGTAAATGGTTACAATGCAGACTATACTGGGCAGTATGCATCTCTTTAGGTACCTCCTTTAGGTACTCTGTGTCCCAGTCATGATTTTGGCATTCCTTAAGTCTTCAAGCTGAAGAGCTTTATGCTTGGTAATATTCTGGATGAAAAAAAGGCCATGATGATTTTCCTTACCTGAGTAACTGCTTTTACTTGCCCTGTGTTGACAGTGGTGACTGGGGTACCCACAGCAGTCTCTGTGATCACATACTGCCCTTGGGGGATGGTCATCATCTGAATCTCTGATGCTAAAAAGTTGCAAATTGGATAATCAAGACCTTTAGTCAAACTCAAAGACAACCTTCAAAGATCATATCTTATGTCAGAAAGATTTTAAGTCTGTACAGTGGGTATTGAATAGAATTCAGGTGATATAAGGCCTTGTAGAACCCTACAGGCCTCAGCAGAATTTTGCCAGTTAACACCAGATAGAGATTTGGCAATTCATGCAGAGAAAACACATCCTGTTCTCACTCAAATCATCACAGAATTACCATCCAGAACTGCATGAACATGAGAAATCATCTTCATGTCACGCTTCTTCTCCACACAATTCTTTCAAGCATGCATCCAAATTTGAACAAGTAGCTATCCAACACATGGATTCTTGCTGTATGCAAGTTTCTTGGAATAAAGGAGCCCAGTGTGCCTGCCCAAACTATGTACTGGATCAGTATGGATGATAGTGGAAGAGCTGGTACAACCATTTACATTTGTCTGAAGCGTTATCTTCTTGATATCTATGAATATTAACCACAAAGCTGAATGAACTCTGAAAACACTGTCCCATTTGGTAGCTGGAGACATGGGGCACTTGTTAGTCAGACACACTTGCCAGACAAGTAGTTAGAGCTACTGCTGACACTTACAGTAGCTCCGGAATGAGTTCCAGTTGCTGGGGAGATATGTGTGCTGGACTGAGGAGCCTTGCTGCTGCTGGAGGGCTTGGTTTGGTGTCGATGTAGTTGTCTGTATCTGTGAGGGGCTGAGCTCCTGCTGAGGTTGTTGCGAGGAGGGACTCAAAGGCTGACCCCCAGCCTACAGGAAAACAAAGTGCAAGTGTTCTTGGTGTAGTAAGGATTGCACAGCTCTATGCTGTCACAAACATGGCCTTCTCATTAAAGGAAAACACAGGATGGGTTCCAGAGCATATCGAACACAAGAACTGAACTCTCTCTCCTCCAGCTTGCTTCACTCTATGGTAAATAAGCTCAGACCAGGAAACTGAAATAGTGATATTGTTGCTTGCCAAAGTGAGTCTGTGGCAGAGACCTGAGATTAGAGGCTAAATTCAACCCAAGAGCATGAAGAACTGCACTTCAAATCTTTGAGGAATGCCAGTTTCCACTTGCATCTTCCAACTGACAAACTTAATTTAGCTGCAAGTATGTCTGTTTCCAATCATTTATCTGTTCTTTGTACATATTGTTGAGAGGAAAAAATACTCCACACCAAAAAACCCATAAACAAATACCAAAACAAACCCACAACAAAACACCCCCATACACCTTGAGACATCTGGGCACTGCTTGATGACCTCAATACAACAGTAATTTCATGTGTGGTCCTTTAAATGAAAAAGAAAACACTATTCCCTGCATCAGCACATGCAATATGCCAGCTGAGCAGGCTGGTAGGGAAAGCATTTTCTGATGAGAAGAGGGAAATACCTGTGATGATGACTGAGTTGCTGGTGATGGCTCTGTGACCTGGATGTGCTGCACCTGGATGGCATGTTGAGTGTATGTCTGGGGGTCATGGAGCTGCCCAACATCCACTGTGGAGTGCTGGGACTGGTGAGGTGAGGTAGCCTGGGGAAAAAATTAAACAGAATTCTTTACCTCAAATTCTTTACAAAAGCAGCCATGCAAACCTCTTTTGGGACACAAAGTCTGGAATAATGAAGGAGGAGCCTTCGTGGAGCACACCTGTTGAGCCTTGTTGAGTTTCTTTGCACCCCGGGAGATAAGGTACATTTAATAGATGTAATGGCACAGAGATGTTCTATCTCACTGATACCAATGGAAAGGACTTGCCTAACATCATTCAAGCTGTTTGTGGCAGTGGCTGGACTAAACCAAAGGGGCTCAAAAGCCAGGATTAGTATTAACCCTTTCTCTGTAAGCATCTCTCTGTACAACATATACATACTCAAGATTTGCATATCCAATTCTGTAGTTTGACACAGATCTGCATCAATACAAGTGCTCAGAGGTTTTTAAAGGTTTTTCTGAACAACACTTGCTAATGATACCAATTGCAGTAATTGAATTACAAATTTTGGATATTTATAAAATTAAGATCTTGCTAATATTTCCTGCAAGAATCAATGGTCATGCTCTTGGATTGTTACAACAGCCACAGTCACTATCAACTGGGGCCACTGTTTAGGCCTTTATTAACCAAATTCATAATCTGATTTGATAACATGGAATTTCAGATTAAAATATAAACACATGGTAGTTTCAGCTTCCTCCAGTGGGTAACAGATTTCTTACAACTGCTTGAGATATTTTCCTCAGACCAGTTACTCTAGTTACACTCTTGGTTTCATTTTTAGGAGGTTGATGAGCATTAACAGAATGAATATGCTAATAGATGCTATGAAAGGAACAAGCAACCACTCTCTGCACTCCCAAATTTTGGCTCTGACTAATTGAGGACAAGGAAGTACAAATCACTCTTGAACTGCAGAAAATGGGTCGCCCACTGATCCACCTTTCCAGTAGCTGGAAAACATTCCTAGAGCAGACTTGAGCAAAGCTGCCCAGATGGGTAGAACTACGTTTGGACAGCGTCGATGTGTCTCCAGCAAGCTGACCAAGGCTGGCAGGACTATTTACGCCCAGTACAAGTGCTTATGAAGGGAACTCTATGCCTTATCAGTTGATTTATCTGTAAAAAGTAGCTACAGCACTTTTTGTAACTACTCCTTACCACACTTTTGTGTGCTAGAGCCCCATGAACACACAGGCTTGGGAGGGAAGAAATCAAAAGCACAGCAAGATCCCCACCAGGTTACTCACCTGGGCCACTTGAACAACCTGCAGCTGTATGTGCTGAGGCTGCTGCAAGCCCGTTGTGGATTGAGACACAGGGATGTACTGGATGCGCTGGTAATCTCCCTGGGGAGTCCGGTAATCTGTAGTGAGGGTCTGCGATATCTCTGTCATTGCTTGGGTCAGTAAATCTGTTGTCTGAGCAGGGAGAGGGAGATACAGATCATCATCATACTGATGTACTTCTTCAGGGCTGTAGTTCTTTTATCTACATTTATGTGGATCTGGTCATTTTTTCACAAGAGCTTCATGTCCAGAGGTTGCGGTCATAAGTAGTCACCAGGGATCATCAACTAGAATTGCTGTCTTCTGTCTAAATCCTACTCTGGACTAGTAATGGCTAACTTAATATATCATAATAAAAATAATTATTTTCATCTTGTGACATACCAGTGTTCTGTTAAACAATGGAAGTCCTGTATTTGTGAAGAGCTAACTTGGTTTCCAAGTCAAAAAGTAATTTGTTGATATATTCCACCTTTCTTCCTCCCCTGTCAGAGTCACAACTGTATTTCTACTGTGTAAAGACATTAGTACATAACTTAATCAGGTTCATGAAGCCAACAGCATCCTGATTAAATCTCTCCATTTTCAAGCAAAACAGTCTTTTATCTAGTCAGTCTTTAGATAAGAAGTTTTAAACCGTGATCAATAGGACTTTTAAAACTACATAGTATCCCACAACACTGAAGGGCACATTTTCTAGTCTCAGCTTTCACTTCAGTGGCAGCTGATGTATTAACAGTGGAGAGAGATCAGCCACCGGAGATTCATCTTTCTCAGAGCTGTGCTGTCCAAAGGATTACAAAAAGACCTGACTCCCTGAACACAGTTTGATCCAGTCCCCAGTCACTGTTAAGCTTGTCCTCTTGATGCCAGGAACTGCATCTCTCACTTCATGAGAAAATTCCCAATGAAAATCCAGGAGATGTGTATCCCTGAGTTCATTATGTGGAGTCAGTAAGTCTGAATGAAAGAAGAAAATGGATTTGGGGATAAAAGACAAATCCCTAAAGCTCCAGAATGAAATGAACAGCTCCTGACACTGCAAAACGGGACCACACAGGTTTAAAACCAGAAGTGATCTCAAATAATGTCCTAATACAGGTTTAAAAGTAGTGTCTGCCAAATAAACAGGGTTACTAATACCAGAAGGCTCCTGTTCTGTGTGTTTCCCTGCACTGCCCTTGTGTGCCTCCAGTCCTTACCACAACAGTTTCTCCAGTCGTGCTGTCTGTGGTGAGAACAGCTGGTGTGGAACTGATGACGGCCGTCGCCAGCGGTGCATGGATCGTGTTTGGGAGCTGAGCAAACTCTGGGTGCTTCTTGCGGATGTGCTGCACCATCTTTGTCTGCAGAGAGAAGCAAAGGAGTGTTGGAAGGACGGTCAGTAACTCTGCTCAGGGCCACGTGAAATACAACAGCCTGGCCAAACACAGCTTTTATGTTTCTCTCAGTAAAACAGCCTCCAGATTGATACTATGAGATCCTCTGGTCAACAAAGTTGAAAACAAGAATCACAAACCTGCTGCTGATTAGAGGTGACACTGAAGTATTGTCCTCAGCAGGTTTTTACCCCAATATCGCCAAATGTTTTACGACTTTTTCCAAAGGTCATGTTTTCTGTGTTTTGTTTCCCTGCTCATCTCCCCTGCAACTATCAGAGAGCAGTTTTCAAGCCCTTCCATTCATGCTCATGCTCTGGTAACTTTTCAGCACAAACCCTCTATTCATGGAATCTTTTGGCCGTAAAACAACAGACTGTGCCTGCACTGTCAGCACACAGCACAAAACCAGCACCCTGACTGAGAAGAAGAGAGGTCTGCTTGTGGACAGACAGGTGACAGAGACCATGGCGAAACAGCATCCCCAGGGAGAGGCTGTCTGAGGCCGGAACCCCCCATACCTTACTGCTGTATTGCTTGGAACAGTGAGGGCAGCACACTGGAGGGGTGGCAATGGTGCCTGTCAGCTGTGTGTGGGTGCTTAGCATAGGATCTGGCTCTCCCGGTCCTGCAGGACGCAGTTTCCGGATGCTTGGAGGTAGCTCAGCACCAGGATGGTTTTTCAGGATGTGTGCTTTGCGTTTGCTGGCACTCTTGTACACCTGCAGGGCAAAGATCTGGATTAAAATGGTGCAACCCTGGTGTCTGCACAGGAAACAGATCCCAGTTATCTTGATCTGGAAGGTCTGCATGTTGCTTTAGAAAATACATTTAGTTAAATTCCCAAACAATTACAACAAAAGGCATGAACATACACCTTCCAGTGTTTCATCAACCTGTAAAAGCAACTGACTCCTTGTGTAGCAGAGAAGCCTTTTGAGAACATATTGCATGCCATAACCAAACACCAAAGCAGGACAAGGAGGTAAGAGGAAAATTCTTCTTGCCATATTTGAAGATCATATGCCCAATGTTAATTTGTTATGATGGTTGATGTCTCTATTTGACACAGAGCATCAAACTGTTTTAGTTTAGTGATCAACATACCTTTTAATTCTTTTTAGGCACATCAACAAACACTATCTCATAATTAAAACTATTTTTTTCCCCTCAAACAAAAGGAAAAAGAGGCATCACAGAAAGACATATTGGGGATAAAGACAGTCAAAAATACACTCCCTAGTAAATAAAGGTCCCCAGGCATAAAAGGCAAAGCAGAATAAAAGCAAGAACCCAAAGGTACTGCAGAAGCAGCTTCAGGCTCCACTGACCACTGGGACATGACCTAGTAAGCAGCTTACAATAAAAGATGTTAAAGACTAACTTTTAGAAACGCAAGAGTACTTACTGGCCAGGAATTATATGCAGAAGCATACTTAGTCCTGTGCAAACACAAGACTAAGAGTCAGTGACTGCCTGCAGGATAACAGTACTCAAGTTTTCCAATGCCAAATACAGCAGAAAGGGGAAAACTACAGCTTTCAATTAGCATTCCACTGCCTTGACCTAAGTGCATTTTGTAGTTTCTTTTTTTTTACAGTACTGCAGGAATGTTGATGGCAAGCACCTCAGAAAAGCTACAAACCCTGCCAGAGATTTCTACACAGAGACAAACTGGTTGCATCCAGGACTGGGACTGAGCTATCCTCCGAGGGGTGACTTCCCACACACCTTATCGCAGTATTGACAGAAGTAATCTCTGTTGGGTTTTATGATGGGTAACGTGAGCTCTGGCACCTCTTCTATTTTCATGTCTGGATGTCTCTTTGATAAATGATTCACCTTAAGAGAAACAGAGGACAAGAACATATTACAGCTGAAAGCCGAACGATTGGTGCTTCTCCCAGACATGGGTAACAGCCAAACCAAAACTGAACAATGCAAGCCAGCAGCACTGGAAGCATGTGCTGCTGCAAGGGTTATTGTGCACTCATATTTAACTGCTCAAGGTAAATGTGGTCTTGCTAGGTCTTATTTACAGTTTCTCTAATCAAAATTAGATAGGAAGGGGTGAAATAGTTTGCCAGAACTGTCTTGTAGGTGATATCTGAGAGTGAGGTAGTGTGAAGGGCCTCTGGCCAAATCAGAACCCTCATGAAACCTTAGCAAACAATCTCTTGCTGCAGAACAGCCTTTATCCAGAGGCAGTGCCAAGACATGGCCAGCAGAGGACTTGGAGAAGGGGGAGAAACAAAAAACAGGAAAGACCGCCAGGAAAACAAGGTTTTAAGGCTGAACAAGGCAGTATTTTCAGCTCATGTCCTGTTAAATACAGTACACATCAGACAGCATTACTTAGTGTTGAAATATGGTACTGACAACCAGATGTACAGTGCAGGCAGTAAACATGTGCAAATTTGCTGAAGATGTAAAACACACAGGTTTAAAAAAAGATTGATCACCTCAACTCAGCTACAAAATTTGCCGAACTTTGTTTCATAGCATCCTGCCTGGATAAGACAGGCTTGGAGCACCCTGGTCTAGTAGAAAGTGTCCCTGCCCATGGCCAGTTGGTGGAATGAGATGAGTTTTACGGTCCCTTCCAGCCCAAACCATTTTATGATTCTTGTGTTCCAACACTGGAATTCCATCTTTATTCCTTACCCATTCATCAGAATAGAGTAGAGAGGCTGTAACAGCACCCAGGCACTCACCAACATGCCCCTGCGGCGGAAACCCATCATGCAGAGGCGGCACTTGAACATGAAGCTCTCATAGTCAGTGGACGCGATCCGGGGCTTGAAGGTTTTGGAGCGGCTGATCCGATCAGCCTTCTTGGCCTCCCTCTCTGGGTTGTGCATCCTCTGCATGTGCTCTCGCAGCTTGTCCTTCCTCTGGAAAGGAGAAATTGGGGGGAAAAATGTCAGCAACATCACAGAAACTGCCATACTGCCTGTTATACATAAGAGCCACAGTTTGAGTTGTTCAGGGATCTCTCTCCAGAGAGGGAAATTCTCCTCTCAGAAAAATGTGTTCCTTCACCCAGAAGTATCCAGTCCCTCAGTGTCCCATCACAAACTCAGTGACAGGGAGCAGGCTGCTGCCACCACTGTTTACCTGGCTCACAGTCTGCTCCATCTGTTCCAATGGGATTTGGAAAGGCATCTGGATGACATGTGCTGACAAGATGGATGCCATGGACACAGGCATCTCGGCCAGGAACATTATTAATCCACTGGCACCAGCAAGTTAACTGACAATGTATAAACAATGTAACCCAAACACCTGGTAATGGAGATGTATGATGTCCCAGTTCTTAATGAGCAGATAGAAAGTTCCTTTGCTATTAAATTATTAGGAATAAGATCTGTTTGAAATAAGATGCTGAGGTGACCTTGCCTCTTGTCCTTCAGAAATGGATGCCATAGCTCACACAGGATACCAAGAAATGCATGCAACTCACAGGCAAGTCTAGTGTGCTTACATGTGTTATTTTCTTTCACCTTTGAGAACATGAACTTATTTCCTTGAAGGAGGGTAAGGAATAATTTTTTTTGTACTACTAATGATCCAGCCAAGAGCCACCTTACCTTAAACTGCTTGCCACAGGTGGAGCACAGGAAGTCTTTGCGGTCCGAGTGCCGCAGCATGTGGAGTCGCAGCTTGTCGGGGCGGCAGAAAGCCTTGTCACACTCTGTACACTGGTAAATCTTCTCAGAATGGAAACTGCGCACATGTTTCTTGACCTAAAATGGCAGATCACAGAAAAATGAAGTTTATTCAAGAGAGAAGTGAGTTGTAACACACTAGGAAGCTGTTCGCAATGTGAAAGAGAAGGAAAAGGTTTTGAAGGTGTGTAATATACTTTGGTTTAAAAAGCATTTGATCAGAACAGTTGATATCTCAGCAATAGTTTCTATGAAATTGTAACATCTTTATTACTCATCTGGATGGGCGATTTGATTTCCTCAAGACTGAATCTTGAAGGCATCAGCTATTGCACAGTTGCACTTAATGGACAGCAAAAGTCCAAAATGCACCATTTGCACAGAATCGCCCTTGAGTAAACAAATTCATCTGAGGTTCATTATCTTCCTTTCATTTATAAGAAACCAAAACATAGGGACTAATTCCTTTCAATCAGACACAATGAGCTTGCAATTATAATTGGCAAAGAAGAAAAAAACTTATTCAGAACAACATTTGCACATCATTCCTGAATGGCAATTACTTCTTCATACTCAGGGACTATCCTTCACCTCTTCAGACATCTAGAGGGGTATTTTTTTCCTCCCCCCAATAATTAACTAATGAAGTTTGACATCTGAAATGAAAGCACTGTTCAAGAAATGGATCTCTAATTAAATCCTTACCGTCTTCTAATACTGATCATACAAGGAACAACTTGGCATCTCTACCTGTTCCACACAGAAGTATTTCAGTAGGCAGCAGTGACTAGTCTTAATTATCCACACAGCAAGAAGAGAAAAAAATTATTGTTAAATGTCAAAAATACAACCGAATAGCTGGAAAAAAAGCCATGGGACTTTCAGTCAGTTGCATGGGAAAGTTTACAGTGAATTAAGTTGCAGTACAGCATTTCTGAATCATCGACATTCTTCCTTGCTGAACATTTACAGAAGATAAAGGACTTCTTCCAGGATGGAATTATATTAGTGACATCACTTTCCCCCATCCTTTCCTCTTCAGTCTAGTGGGTAGTCTATCTGTTCCTATTACTGATCTAAACCGGATTTCTACATTTCAGTTTCACTCAGGCAGCTCAGTAAGACACATCAATTGCTTTGTCCCTAGGAAGGATAATGAATATTTGCACGGTCCATCTCAGTTTTTTCTTACTGGAAGTGGAAATAGAATCTTTAAATTCTACTAATGACCTTGTCCAAGTGCTCAGTATAGTGCAGAGTAGCCGCATTACTCACTGCTCCAGTGCAGTGTGCAGGGAAGGAGAATAAAGTGCCCAACTGAAGCTCAGGGGGGATGTCAGGAAGCAGAGTATCCTGATCTGTTCTGGCATTTCTTTGAGCTGTTCAAATGAATTACCCTGACAGAAAGTAGGCAAGGGATTAAAGATGTAAAACCCCTCATTTTTTTTGTTCAGAGTTTTAATGAAGAAGGGCAAGGTCTCTTCAAGTACAAGCTGAATACAAAAAAGACAATTCCTTTTTGTGCCACGGAGATATAGTAGTCAGGACCTCTGCTTCAGGAATTTCTTAGGAATAAGGCATCCACCCTTCTGCACTACAGTGCCTTCTAATGACAGACTGAAGCATCACATCTGATGATTTAGTGGACAGAGCACTTCAGTGTCATAAGACAATGTCTAGCAGTGGTTGGTTGGTCACTCTTCCATTTCAATTTCTGACTGAGGTGGACCCTGGCACCTTGTGAGAATGAACTGCTGTGCAGTTACACATGGAGAGCACTGAGAAACCTACAGCCTTTTTGAGAGACCCCCAAAGCAGTGCTTCAGATCAGTACAGCATCTCACCTGGATAAAATCTGGGAAGCGTTTCTTGCAGGTGGGGCAGGTGAAATAGCCATCATTGACATGGACGGCCACGTGATCCTTAAGGAGATCCAAGCGGTCAAAGGACTCGGGGCAGAAAATGCAGGAGTACGTTTTCTGGTCCATATGGAACTTCATGTGGCTCTCGAGGGCACCGCTGTTGATGAAGCCCTTGTTGCAGATGTCACAGGTCAAAGGGCAGTTCCCTTCCCGCCCATGGAACCGCAAGTGCTGGTCCAGCTTGTCCTTCTCCCGAAAGGCCTTCCCACACTGCAGGCATTTGAACGGGCGGAAGGATTTCCGGATGAACAGGTGCTGCAGAGCTGCATTCTGAAAGAAGCATCCAAGAGACCATTAGCTTTCCTTACCATGTATAGATTCCACATCCATATATATTCAGAATTAAATATACCAGATGATTAGTGAACCTAAACTTCAAGAAATTATTTTCCTTATATATAAGGAAATATATAAATCATATTTGGCCTCCAATTTACAGCAGGGGAGGCTGCGACAGGCAGAAGTCAGGAGAAACATCTGCAGCTACACCCTGAGCTAGGGGAACACAGTGCAGGAGTTTCCTCTACATCACTGATTTCTTCTGATTTAGCTGACTTTCTTTAAACATGCAATTTTTATGTAAAATAAAACAAAGTCCTCTCTGAAGCACAGACCTGGGCCCGAGAAAAGCTGCAATTCCAGCTGATTATTTGGCATCATGTCATAAGTTCAGCCACCACACAAAGGAATGGTGAGCCAGCACTGTGTGTTTCCCTCAGGAGCAGGGCTTATGAAATTCCACAGCCTTTTACAAGATCACCTTTTGCATCAAATATCACCAGAGAGATGTGCAGCAGTGGTTTAGCATTGTCTGGAGAACTTCCAGTGGAACATGCATTCAAGAAATGCCGGTCTGAACTTTTTTTACTATTGCCACAAAGAAGAACAGAGTTTCAAAACATGATGACAAAGGCAGAATGGCAGTCTCATCAGCAGCACATAAGACCTTGTGAGCAATTCTCCACTTCTACGGTGCACAATGTCTCCTCTCAGCCCCTATGTTTTTGGTGTGTGTTTGCCTTCACTCTGCCTCTTCTGTAACATTTAATGATCGTTCTCTGTTTTCTCTCCCTACCCTTCAGATAAATGTTATAGAGCCATCCCAGTCCTGACCCAGTACTCTCTGCTGAAGGAACAGATGCTGCTGGATGCACTGCCCATAGAAAGAGGGAAGGAGGTCCTGCACCTGCATTTCAATATTGGATGAGAACTTTCATGTTGGACAGTTGCAAAGTGGAAATTGAGTCCTATGAAATCCCCCAGCACACTGTCACCCATACTGCACTCCAAGTATACTGCAATGCTCCATTCTTCTGCAAGAAGTCTAAGCAATATCCACTCTTCTCTCAAATACTTCTATAAACCATTATTTATTGATGTCTTTTTTCACATTACACACAGAATCTATATCATGATAGTTAGAGAAATAATGTGGAAGAGCATAAGTTTAAGTTGCATATTAGGAAGAAATTCTCAGCTGGGAGGGTGTCGAGGCCCTGTCACTGGCTGCCCCATCCCTGGAAGCACTCAAGGCCATATGGGATGGAGCTTGGAGCAACCTGTCATAGTGGAAGGTGTCCCTGCCCATAGCAGAGGAGTGGAACTGGATGAGTTTTAAGGTTCCTCCCAGCCAAAACCACTCAGATTCCATTACAATATTGCTGACATTTCTGCGCACATGTGTTCCATATGACCCATTCATGAATTCTGCAAACAGATTTCCCAGGTTTCCTGTCTCCTTTGCTTGTGGGAATGTGGCAGGTGACACAACTGACATTTGCTGTGTCTCTTAAGTGCACACCAACAGCTGACACTGATTTAATAAAGGTATGAGCTCTTCTGCTGGAATGAGGGGACAGCTTGGGAATACTGTGAAATGCTGTGCTAAGAATTAAATTTATGAACCTCTAAGATCCTTTTTCACCATCTGAACTGTAGAGGGAAACCTAGACTTTCATTCCAGAAAAGAACAAGAGAGCAAATGTTTTGCTACCAAAAAAAATATTAACACTTTAATAGAGGAGCTCCAAATAGGGCTTCCCAAGAGCTGTCATCATCATTATTCGCCATTTTACAAGTGGAGACAATGGGAAACAGGGATCTGCTCTAAACCACACTGGGAATTGCAAAGACAGCCATGTGCTGTGCAAAATCTGATGTGCTGCTAGGAATTCAAAAGATATAACTGTCCCCTTAACCACAGGGAGATGCTAATAAAACATAGGTGAAAAGATGTATTTCAGTCCTGAACTGCACTATTGAGTTTTGATCACTGGTACCTCAGCAGATAGCTGACTGCTAATACAGCAGGCCAGACTCAACATAGCCCTGTTGTTATCTCAAGGGCTACAGAATGTGAAATGCTTTTTGCCTACGTAATCTATCAACTAGAAAAACAGAACCAAAGAACTAAGTGTTGTCTCATTAACTTGTTGTATTGATCCGGCACAAACAATTGAGCAAACAAATCTTCCAAAACTTTAACATTGATATTATGGCTCTTCATCCAAGAATTATTCCTATAAAATCCACCTTAAATCTACAAAGAACTGGCATGAAAAGAACTGGAGAAATGCAAATTGTTATTAAGGTAACACTTAGTTCTGGACACTGGTTACCTAAGGAAGAATGAATGTGACGATTTATGGTGCAGGATCAATCAGGGAAACACTGAACAGGAGTTGGACCAAACAACATGGAAGGCAGTGTTGATACGTACCATTGGATTAGATACAGGAGAAACCCAATGAAACAAAAACCCAAACCTACCTGCAGCTCCAGCTGAGCAGGCAGCATTGAGAGAGAAAAAAATACTTTTGTTATGCAATGGACTTGAGTAAACAGAAGCCTTGACTTCTGCAGGTCACTACAAGGGCTCTTCCAAATAGAGTTTACTGCTTTGAGGTTTTTGCCTCAGGAAACACTAAACAGATTTTCTAGGTTTAGTCTGTAGTTAGTAACTGGGGAGTTAAAAGGGCAAAGACAAAAACCACAGTTAATCTTGAAGGGGTTTTGTGACCTTTCCTGTTTTCCTAGGGCTCATTAACAGGGATGCAATGTGCACTGTAGAACATTTCATGAAAGCATTCATGAAAGAATGCTTTCAGCAGAAGGGAATAATTAGATCAAGATGACAACAGGATAGGGAGAAGGAGAGTAAAAAAGTTAAGGAGAAGGGACTTTTTCTAACCTCATTTTACTGGCTGTGCTCCTTTTTACACAAGTACTTGCATTTCTTTCACCATGAAGGAAGTAACTGTGCTTTCCAAGTCGTATTCCTATCCCTCCGGTTTCTGGCATTAGCACACAGACACCCTACATACTGCCCAGAACTGAACTAAAAACAAAGATTCATTTTGGCTGTGGACCACAGTGTTCTTCTAATTTTCTACAAGAGTTCTTGAAGGGTGCATGTATCTCTTTTCAATACTAAGGACCCCCCCAACTGCCATAGTTAAAGTCTGATCTCCAAGGAAATCCCACAGACTCTAAAGCAGAGGCTAAAAAATGAACTGATCCTATCAGGACTTGAACCCTAGGGCAGGACAAATCAGTGCTTCCACCTAGCATGAAAACACTCTCAGAGCACCACTGTCTTAAGCCTTAGAAAAGCTGAAGTAATTCACAAAGAATGACTGTTTTTTTGAAAACTAAATCCTATCAAATTAATAAGGAAGAATAAGAGATACACAGGTTTCAGAATCATAACCAGAAGTCAGGACTTTTTACCTGTTCTTTGGAAGTGAATAATGTACCACATATCTAAAAACCAAATGTTTGCTTGCTTTTATTATGAAGTGCATGTTATTGTAGGCAGGTGCTGTGTGAGTGTTAAAAGGGTGATTTTTTAAAACATGATGCTGGCTGGTTTAGTCTTATCTCAAGTGCTCATTGCTCACAGTCTGATGCAATATGGAAAGGTCTGTGCAACCATCCATCTGCCATTCTGCCAGTGCTACTGGCTTGAAACATCTCCAGGACTCGGCTGAACAGGAGCTGCCAGATAAAGGGAAAGTTCGGAAGACTTGAGATACAAACATATCACTGAACCACCACTGCACTCCTCTAAGTCGTCATCCATTTGTGATGAATTTACAGAGAACAAAAGTGAAGTCACAAGACAAAGAAGTAACTTCAGAATTTCTGTCATTTTCTTCCTACATTAATTACTTCAGAGGATCCTAAGTTCACATCTTGGGTTCAAAAGTTCAGGGAAATGGGCAGTGCTTTCTTTTCTTTTCTGAGGATGCTGTACCACACTGTAAGCAGTACATCCCCATGCTCTGTCAAAACTTCAGCATCTCTCTCTGTACTCTATTATACACCATTCAAAATACATTCAATAAAAAATCCCACAAGATTTTAACATATGAAAATGAAATCGCTGGTAGAAACTTGTCATTCAGAGACTGCAAGCATTTTGTATGGTTAAAAACTGTGCAGTCTTAATGTGCCCAAGCCAAACTCTTCCTTCAAGACATGCCACAACATTTTTGGGGTAATACCACCATTGGTCTTGCATATATATTACTGTAAACTGCAAGTAAAATTTGGTTCAACATCTTCCTACACAGAATACTCAACTTCTTTCTAATCCTTCCTCATCCTCTAAAAATGACATCCCCTAAAAATGAACCCTGGCCCCACTGCAGCTGTTTCTTTCCTTAATCCAAAGTTAACACATGGAAGAAAAAGATTTTAAGCTAAATAAACTGATCTCCCAGTTACAAAGATTCAAGGATTTGAATTTGTGCTTGAATAATTTCCCACCCACACAGAGAAAAACCAGCTCAGCCAGTTGACATAGAGCTCAGGCTCAAAGTGTTCGCTTTTAACACAGGTTTTGCTCTCAAAGGAAGGGTTTTCCTCCCCAAAAAAGGACTTTATCACTAAGTAGCATCATCATCTAAGTGGATCCAAACTGATGTTGTGGTTCCTCTTTTGCAAATAATTGCTGGAGAGTTCTGAGAGACAGATGGTGCTGTGAGCAAGTCATTAGTATGTGCCACAGCACCAGGATCTGTCAGTTGTTTGAAGCACCCCTGCTTACCAGTTTGGATGGACTGTGTTTCCATGCAAGAATTACTGTGATGGAATTCAATCAGCTCCAGCTCCTGACCAGTTCTCACTAACACCTGTGAGATACTGTGCTACTGTTAGTGAGATACTCTCACTAACACCTATGAGTCCTTTATGTGAGATTTGTCTTCCTCTCAGTGCAAAGAAAACTGCTATGAATGAGATACTTTATTTGGGATTTGGAAATGGATCTGACAGTGAAAGGAGGACCAGCTGGCCCTGGCAGGCAGGCCTGGCATTCCCTGGGTTACAGTGGACATGATCCCTCATCCTCTGCGCTTACCCTGATGCGCTTTGCTCGCCTCATGTCATCTGCTGTCACGGAGCTCTGTGTGGACACCGTGCTCGCCTCGTGCTGTGGCTGTACATGGAGCACGTGGTTTTCCTGCTGCTCCAGCGCTCCCTGTGGCTCTGTTGGCACCGGAGTCTGCTCCTGCTGCTCCAGCCCATTCAGTGGGGCTTGTCCGGCCTCATCAAACTGCCCCTTGCTGGAAAAATGCAGCAAGTCCTGAAATCGCAAATCATACAACCAGTGATTATTCCCCCCACCCACTGAAAAACACTTTTGATAGTACTCAGCAGACAAGATTTGTACATATTTAATCAGAAACTATAAACAAAACAGCATAGTGTAGTGTCTATACTAACTCCTACAGTTCTCCTACTGTGTCCACTGCTGCTTTCGGCATAACCACCTTCACCTATGGCAGTGTCACCCAGAGCTCCAGGGAGGCAGTGCTGCAGGTGGGTGACTCTCCATGGACCATCCCTCTCTCTGCCCAGCCATGGTCATTATGCCTTCTTTCTCAGCATTCCTACTCACCCATTCAACTCAGCAACAATGATGCAGTAAATAATAAAATGGTATAAATAATAAAAGCTGCATACATTCTGGCAGCAAAACCAATCAGCATTATCTGGCTGATTAGCTGGATAACAGCCAACAGGGCTCTTCTGCACTCAGGACTATTTCTGCTGTAACCAAATAGACTAGTGCAGACCCAGGAAAAGAGAGAATTTCTGTCTCATGGAAACTGTTGTCACTTTGAAACACTTTGTGTCATTTTGCAGTGTCTCCTCCTTTCTAAAGAACTTTCTGGAGTGCCAAACTGGAGAGTGACAAACAAGGTGATCACACTGAGCACTGTGTGGTTTTCTTATCCAGTTTCAAGCTCTGCACACATCACTGCCATATATCACACAAAGCTGTTTTTCCTCCCTTTTTGCATTAGCATAAAAGAGAGGTGCTGTGAGCAGGAAACACATGCCAAAAGTCTACATTCTTTCCCTGTGAGTTCCAATAACTCTTCTGGAGTGGAATTATCTTCTATTACATAAAAAAAAAACCCACACAGATCCTTATTTGACACCACATAATGCAACTGAAGAAACTTAAAAGCACAAGCTAAGAAACAGAACACCAGAATTAATTTTGAATTATGTCAGTTGAAGGCTGGTGGTGTCAAAACACAAAAGTGGGTGTGGGAGAAGAAAACCAAGGAATGAGGCCCTTACAGACTGTGAGTGCTTACCAGAAAGAGACCCTTAGTAAACAATACACAATCTCATTGTCCAGCCCAGGTCTGGGTGGCAAGTTTCCACCTTGCTGACACTCAGCTGTGTTCTCAGCATCCTGACTCTCCAGCTCCCAGGCAGAGCTTGTGCCCAGCTTTAGTGAGGTGAGCAGACCTCCAAGGGCTTAGGGCATCATCCTACCCCACTGCACAGGCACACATGAGCCAGCTCTGTGCCACGCTCCAAGCTGGCAGGACACAAGCTACCTCCAGTCCAGAGGCCACTCACACACTGGACTGTGCCCAGCAAGCGCCATCTCCCCAGAGTGAAGGGCTTGGAACCACCACTAGGTTTATTTGTCTAAATGAGGCTGGCATGTGTCATGTCAGCCTGTGGAGAGGGTGAGCTCACAACTACCTACACCTAGTGCAGCATTTAGGGCATTGCAGCAGGAATTCACAGGCAGAGTATAGATTCCTCCATCTGAGTCAGCACAGAGCCATGACCCAGTGAGGAGCCAGAGGAAAATTACCACTCCAAATATCAGCTTTCAGCTAAGTCATAAACCAGAACACTGATTCCTTTTGTCACTGCTCATAAAAGAACTTAGTGGTAACCTAAGCATGGTCACCATCAGAGAATTGAGTTTTTTACTTAAATGCATCATATTACATCCCTGCAGAATATAACCAACAGCTACAAGCAAAAGAACGTTTTGCAATAAGCCTGCCTACAGGAGGCCCTTCTGTTATTATTAAAACATCATGGAGAATCATATCTCAAACTGATTTAATTCTACCAGCAACAGTTTTAAGAGCAGGCTGATCAAACATTCCAGAAAGGACAAATAGAAGCCTAAACTACTATTACAGTTTTACTGTCTGAATTACAATTGTGAGGCTGCTAAACTGTCACAACAACTCAACCTCACTGCTAAGTGCTTTGAAGTGAAACTTGATGCAGAAATAGAAGTGATTTTACAGGTTTTATAGTAGGGAAGTAGTGTGCTCTCCTGGCAGAGAATTCCAGATAGAAACCAATAATTACTCATGTGTAAGTCCAAAGCACACCTTCAGTTTGCACTGATGCCCCGAATTCTTTTAGTCAAGAGTTTACATTCCATGTGCTATCTTTTCCCTCCATCTCCAAAAATATACCTGTGTTCCTTCTTCACATTTTTCACCATTTTCACTGGTTACTTCTATGCGCATGAATTTGGGAGGGCGCCCAGGGCGTCTGCCTGGTCCGAATCTCCTCTTCCCTCGCCCACGACCACGGCCTCTGGTTCTGCAGAATACAGGAGTGCTCCAGGTTAAGATACAAAAAAAGACAAATTTGGATTCTCCACTGATTTTATGCTTTCTTTCTCAGCATTCCCACTCACCCATTCAACTCAGCAACAATGACGCAGTAAATAATAAAATACAGTAAATAATAAAAACTGAATAAATTCTGGCAGCAAAAACAATGGGTTTCTGCCTGGTATCTATTTATTTTGTGCTTTATGAGAAGCCAAGGTTCAGAATACATTAAAATTTCTGTCAGTAATCATGGGACCAAGAGGACTACTTGCTTCCATCCAGCCCTCTGCCATGGCAGACTTCTTCTAACACCCCAGTTTATGTTGTGCTGAGAAGCATTTTCAGCATGCTGGAACAAGTGCACAAGGACACCCATTTGAAATCTGAAGCCATAACATTCCTCCCCAAAAAGCACTCAGCTGTTGATGTCAGGCACTAAACAGAAGGGAACAATTTTGCGTCAAAAAAGCTAAACAAAACAGAGTCGCTACATTTCAGGAAAAAGAAGGCACCAATACCTTCTGCTCTGTGACAGGTGTTTGTAGATTCAGTTTTCAATAAGTCAGGATAAACTATCTTGCCAGTGAGTGGCACAATGAGACACTAGAAGCCTCGTTTTCCAAGCTCTGTTATTTCCGTATCTCTGAGAAACAGTATTTCAATACTGTGATGCTGAAGCATTACAAATATTTAAAGTCATTGTCAAAAGAAAAACAAAACAAAAAAAACTTTACTAATTTCAACAGACTATTTATTTCTCTCAAGCTACATGTTTCACTGAGTCTTAGACCAGTCAGCCACGATTTTCCATACTGGTGCTGACCTGATCTCTCCTGAGTTGGTCACTGAGATTTGCAGGACAAAGCCCCTCCTTTCTGCATGTTTGGGGAAGTACACAGTGATCCACAAGCAAAGCTAAGGCTGTCAGTACCTGCTGAAGAAGTCCAGCTTCTCGTCATGGGAGTTGAGGTGCTGCTGGAGCTGCTCCGAGCTCATGAAACGCCGATTGCACTCGTAACATGGCCAGTTCTTTTCCTGCTCCCTGAGCACTGTCGGAAATGTCAGTAACACCATTTCACTCATCACCTCATTTTTTTGCCCCTAGGCTCTCTATCCTCTGTGGGCCAGATTTCTCCCCTGAAGGTTAGACAGGCTGCAGAACACCCAGCCCTGCTCTGCTGGTCTTTGCTTTTATATTCTCTGTACTGTGCCAAGACCATAGCTCATCACAGACACACAAAGATCACTGGGGACAATTCTCATGGAATATCAACACTGTTAGATATTCAGGGGGATTCTGAAATTCACCCTTGTGTGGAAGAGCATCTACAGGATTGTGCCTCTGGTGTAAGTTAAGGGAAATCAAGGGAAATTTCTAAATCTAAAGCAGTCACACAGCAGACAGTGAGTACAGAAACAGATCTCTTCTTCGGAGGAAGTAACCTAAAACTTCCCAGAAACTGAATAAAAGGCTTAAATTAAGGTAATATTCTTATGAGAATAGTTATTGGAAATAAGCCCCAAAAACACAATAAAGATCTGGCTTAACCTTTCCTAACCTAGTAGAAATTTGGGAGCACTATACAGGCCATATACTTGAAAGTAAGGAGTGCAACTCGCAACCACCACCACACTGAAAGCAGAAGATCTCAAGTTACCCTTCCTTTCCTCCTCAGTTATGTCATGGATCTTCTGGTTCACAAACTCGGCATAGGAGGCAGCATACCACACCTGCAGCAGGAGCACAAGGTAACAGGACACTGAAGTGGAGCCAAAACTAATGGAATTTTGTTTTAAAATGGGTTTTAAGCAACACATTTATTTCAGCTGCCTCAAACACTAACTCTTATTTCTCTTTCCACACTCAATAATAAAGTCTGGTAAGATCAATGTGGCCCCACTGAGGAATGTAAGAGCTTTGCTCAGGAAGTACATCCATTTAATTTTAAGGTCTAGCTTCCTAACACAAATGTTTATCTCACACATGGCTTACATGGCTTCCAGTAGCTCTAAAGGACGTACGTTTAATATCTCTTCAAACCCAGCTATATGACTGTGAAGGAAGGAGTCATCAGAGCACTGATACTTGTACCAAGAGGAATGGAAACATTATTAACTTGGGGGATTCCCCACTTCTTTCCTGCTCTCCTTACTTAGACAATAGGCAGCCATCACCAAAACGTGGTGGGATGACTCACATAACTGGAGCACTGCACTGGATGGATACAAGGTCTTCAGAAGAGATAGGAAAGGTAGAAGAAGAGGAAGGGTGGCCCTTTATATTAAGCAAACTTTTGATGCCATCGAAATTGAAACTAAGGAAGATGGAGTTGAATGTCTATGGGTAAGACTTAAGGGGAAGGCCACAAGGCTGACACCATACTGGGAGTCTGTTATCATCCACCTGACCAGGAAGAAGAAGTAGATGACTTATTCTATAAGCAGCTAGGTAATGTTTCAAGATCATCAGCCTTTGTTCTTGTGGGTGACTTCAACCTACCAGACATCTGCTGGGAACTTAATACAGCAATAAAGAGGCACTCCAGGAAATTCTTAGAATGTATGGAGAACAACTTTTTGTTGCAGCTGGTGGGCGAACCCACCAGGGGAGGGACTATGTTAGATCTGCTGTTTGCAAACAGAGATGGGCTGGTGGGAGATGTGGTAGTCAGAGGTTGCTTGGGGCAGAGTGATCACGAAATAATAGAGTTCTCAATATTTGGTAAAGTCAGGAAGAGCAGTAGTAAAACTCTTGCATTGGACTTTCGGAGGGCAGACTTTGGCCTGTTTAGGAGACTTATTCAGAGCATCCCTTGGGAAGCAGTCCTTAAAAACAAAGGAGTTCAGGAAGGGTGGGCATACCTCAAAACAGAGATCTTGAGGGCACAGGAACAGACTATCCCTGTGCGCCGAAAGATCAGTCAACGGGGTAAACGTCCAGCCTGGCTGGGAAAGGAGGTTTTGGAGGAACTTAAGAATATAAAGAGGATGTATCAGCGTTGGAAGAAGGGTCAGGCCTCTAAGGAAGTACTCAAGAAGGCGGCTAGAGCATGCAGAAAAAAAAATAGGGAGGCCAAAGCTCAGTTTGAACTTAGAATGGCAACTTCTGTAAAGGATTAGAAAAAATGTTTTTATAAATACATTAATGGTAGAAAGAAAGGTAAGACCAGCCTTTGTTCTTTATTGGACAAAGGAGGGAGCTTAGTATCTGCAGATGAGGAAAAGGCAGAAGTGCTTAATGCCTATTTTGCCTCAGTTTTTAGTGGGACGATGACTTGCCCTGACACCTGCCCGCCTGGGCTGGTTGATGGTGTCAGGGAGCAGAATGGTCCCCCCATTATCCAAGAGGAGGCTGTTATAGAAATACTGAAATGCTTGGATATTCATAAATCAATGGGACCAGACGGGATCCACCCCAGGGTAATGAGAGAGCTGGCAAATGAGCTTGCAAAGCCACTCTCCATCATTTACCAACAGTCCTGGCTCACTGGTGAGGTTCCGGATGACTGGAAGCTGGCCAATGTGATACCCATTTACAAAAAAGGTGCAAAGGAGGATCCTGTAATTATAGACCAGTTAGCCTGACCTCAGTACCTGGCAAAATAATGGAACAGTTTATATTAAGCACCATCACGCAAAATTTACAGGATGGCCAGGGTATCAGACCCAGCTAGCATGGGTTTAGGAGGGGTAGATCATGTTTGACCAACCTGGTCACCTTTTATGACCAGGTAACCCGCCTAGTGGATGCAGGGAAGGCTGTAGATGTTGTTTACTTGGATTTCAGCAAGGCCTTTGACACTGTCTGCCACAGCATACTCCTAGACAAGCTGGCAGCCCGTGGCTTGGACAGGAGCACTCTTTGCTGGGTTCAGAACTGGCTGCATGGCTGGGCCCAGAGAGTGATGGTGAATGGTGCTGCATCCAGCTGGTGGCCAGTCATCAGTGGTGTCCCTCAGGAGTCTGTGCTGGGGCCAGTTCTGTTTAATATTTTTATTGATGACATGGATGAGGGTTTAGAGTCTTTTATTAGCAAATTTGCAGATGACACTAAGCTGGGAGTGTGTGTTGATTTGTTAGAGGGACGTAGGGCTTTGCAGAGGGATTTGGAACGGTTGGATGGATGGGCAGAATCTAATGGGATGAAGTTCAATAAGTCCAAGTGCCGAGTCCTGCACTTTGGCCACAATAACCCCCTGCAACGATACAAGCTAGGAACGGTGTGGCTGGACAGTGTTCAGGTGGAAAGGGACCTGGAGGTGCTGGTTGACAGTCGGCTGAACATGAGCCAGCAGTGTGCCCAGGTGGCCAAGAAGGCCAATGGCATCCTGGCCTGGATCAGGAACGGTGTGGCCAGCAGGAGCAGGGAGGTCATTCTTCCCTTGCACTCAGCACTGGTGAGGCCTCACCTGGAGTATTGTGTCCAGTTCTGGGCCCCTCAGTTTAGGAGGGACGTTGAGATGCTTGAGCGAGTCCAAAGGAGAGCAACGAGGCTGGTGAGGGGCTTGGAGCACAAGCCATATGAGGAACGACTGAGGGAGCTGGGGCTGTTCGGCCTGGAGAAAAGGAGACTCAGGGGTGACCTTATCACTCTCTTCAACTTCCTGAAGGGTGGCTGTGGTGAGCTGGGGGTCGGTCTCCTTCTCCGGGCAACAACAGACAGAACAAGAGGACACAGTCTCAAGCTGCGCCAAGGGAGATACAGGCTAGAATTAAGGAGGAAGTATTTTACAGAGAGTGGTCAAATACTGGAATCATCTACCCAGCGAGGTGGCGGAGTCACCATCTCTCGATGTGTTTAAAAAAAGACTGGATGAGGCACTTGGTGCCATGATCTAGTTGAGGTGTTAGAGCATGAGTTGGACTCAATGATCTTACAGGTCTCTTCCAGACTAGAATTTCTGTGATTCTGCAGCACCATCCACATAGACTCATTTAAAATGCTTCTGAGCTTCAGAAGGATTGGAGCAATATGGTCATGCTTCCCAAAACAAAAATCTGCCAAGCTAGCATGATGGACCCACTTTTGTCATACAAGGAATTTAAGCCTTCAGTAAAGGCAACCACACGAGGCAGGGAGATAAAGTTTATAAAAGCCTAAAAGCAGATGCTCACATTTAGATGAGAATTCTTCCATCATTTCATTTGTTTTATGAAAAAGAGTGGATTTTAGAAAAGATTTCTCCAAGAAGGCATCAACAGATTTTCATCAGGAAAAACACAGACAAGTTTGAACTTGCAGTGGGCACAGGCAGAGGTGAGTAGGATTTCAAGGACTCTCCAGCAGGTGCATCACTCTGCAGGAATCGCACTAGCTGGACAAAGACAAAAACCTGGAGCTCCTGGACTACACACCTGGCAGGCAAATCAAAACTTCCCAACTTCAACTACTTTAATCTCTGGACAAAATGTGCATGAATGCCCTACATCCACTTGGGGAAGAAATCAGGACACTAAGCCTTTCAGTTAGCAAGCCATTTTACCCCAAAAGACACTACTAACATAAAGTAAGAAAAATGATGCTCCCACATGGAGGTCTGTACAGATTTAAAGTCTTATTTCAAATAGTTTTAAAAACTGTTGAGAAAATGGTATTTGAATACAGTTAAAATGGATTTGTAAGATTTCTAGTAATTCAGCTTAAAACATTAAGGACTGATTTCAGATAGTCCTGCTCTTAAAGGGTGTAAGTAGGCTTTTGCCATGATTCCTAAGTGCACTTACTAAACAGTTGGTTTTCCAGACAAATTGTTGAAATCTACGTTCAAGAAGAGATTTGAAGAACAACAAAATTTCCTGATATCAAATTTTTTTGGTCTCCCTCCCAGTGTACAGAAAATGTTGAAAATTAAGGCCATCTCAGCCAGCCACACTGCTTTGAGCTCAACATAATCAATAAATTTTCAGAGGGAACAAAAAGCAAACTACAGGAAAATCACAATATCCTTTATAATTTTTCACATGCAAAGTTTCAACAGCTCCAGGAAAGCCAGGTAAGAGGAGAGACCACATTCACTTAAGGCACCAGAAAACAAGCCAGGAACACACAGGACTAACTGGAAAGGGCATCCAGAATTAAAAAAATACAATTGCTGCAATAAAAATGAGATTGTGTCAGCAAAATATATGCTGTGTAAAGCATGACAGAGAGAGACAAATAATTTACCTATTTTTATTTTAAACTTCCTCATGAACCAAAGCTCATTAAAATGCATATGTTGGTGACTAACTACTTACTCACTTCAGTGATATTCAATTCAGGCCAGGCTTTTTTCAGAGGAAAAAAGTTCTAAAACTATTCACATCAGTAGTTTTTGGCACTTAATAGGCATCAACTTTTAAAGTACTATTTAACCAGTAGAAAAAGAGAATCCTGACACACAAGCAATGCCATACCTTGAGTTCCTGCTTGGGTTCCACATTTTTAATGGTGGTGTAATAAATGTGGTGGCCATACTGATAGGCCACTAGGTTCTGCTCCAGGTGATTTTGAGCTGGACGCACAAACATCATCCAGTTACAGAGAGCCTCACTGGACAGCTCAAACCACAAGTCCTCTTGCAAGTCTCTGTCTTTTCTGTCACCCTTATCAAGAGAAACCTGTAGCAAAATCCAATTACATGTGATTGTAACTGCCTGGCAGCACATTCAAAAGAATTTAACTTACTAAGGAAACTACAGTGCCCATGCAACTGTTACATTAAGGGAGCAATGAAGACATAGCTCATTTTCTCTTTACTAACAGAGATCCAGAAACAAGCAGAAACATATTTAGCAACAAGTAAAGATTAACTAGGGAGGCACAATGGATCCTTCCAAGGTTTTCAGGGACAAGAATCATTTATTAAAGGGGTCAGGCACAGTATGAACAAGTGACTATAACAAATGACACACAGGTAGCTGTAGCTTTAGTAGGCTACAGAAACATCAGTCAGAAGTTTCTAACTGGCAGACCCACTTTTCCTTTCATTTCTTGAGTCATGACACTGTCTCAAGCAGGAAACAGCTTTTTTTTTAGCTCAACTTCTCTTGGTTGCTGGATCTGCCTATGGTCACAACTTGCTTGTCAGACACTGACTATCAGAGCCCTCCTAAGACTGTGGATCTAAACCCCAACAAATAAAGGACCAATTTTTCCTAGTGAAACCAGCATGGATAAATGGATAAAAGTCACTCAAATACATTTTACCTCATACAATTACTTGGCAAGAGGAAAGGCATAAAAATATCTCCTCACCTCTACATCTTATGAATAGAAAAGTAAGAAACACATTTTGAACTGAGGTTACAACATGGCATAAAAGAATGGCAGCAGAATTTCCTTAGAAGGGGCTGCTATTTTTATGTCCAGATGCTGCTTCAGCTCATGTGCGAGTGATTCACAGCCTTCCATGTTATGCACCCTATATATACATATATATAGCCTATCACCATAATGCCGGAACATTCACAGGGATTAGTGTGTCACCCTGAATAACAGAGCAAACTTGAAGCCAAAACAATCTGGGTATTTCTTAGTCACATTCAGAGATGGAAATAACAAAGTATCTATAGTGAATTAATGAAAGTAGAGTGACAAATTAATGAAAATCCAAGCTTAGGCACAAATTGATTTCCCCTTTTCTCACCCTTACCTTCAAATGGATATAGCAGTCTTTGAGCTCAGTCTGTCTGACCAGAGGTCCTTCCACAGGCCCAAACTGTGTTCGCTTTGGGATGCGCCTTTTGGAGAACACACCTCCCAAAAACCTGTCTATATAGAGCACCAGGGGAAGGCTGGCCCTCGCCCTGGTCAGCACAGGCCGGTTTGGGATGGGATGCAAAGGTCCATGTTTTGGACACACTGAGGGATGTGCGTTATTACACTCTTCACACCCTGCAACACAAAGGCAGAGAGGACATGACTTTCAGGCAGACACTCACACACCAGCTCAGAGACAGCCTTATCTCTTTCTAAACATCTTTGGCTCAGCTGTGGGAACACTTGTGCCAATAGTCTATATTTCAAAATATTAGACAGGCCAGTGTCCAGCAAAAAAGGAACAAATCAGCTCAGAGGACTTCACTAGAGACAGAATTTTGTCTTTTCAGTCAAGCAGCCCAATTTGAATTCACATTTCTCATTTCTCTGTGAATCAAAACTCACATTTACTCATTACTGCTAAAATCTGAATGGTTTTTGCCTCTCTTTACTAAAGGTCTAATGGAGACGGAAGAAAAGAAGGGGAGGCAGGTAGTACACTACATATGAGTGCACATGCTTACACAAATCATTGGGATCAAAGGGTCGAGGTGGATCTGGATCCCACTCATCCATGTCCGTGTCTTCCCCATCTTCATCCTCATCTTCATCCTCATCATCTTCCTCTTTTGTTTCTATCCTTTCCATTTGATTCTGCAGAGGTGCTAAAGAATCAGAACCATCCACAGCCTCCATAGGAGGTAACACTTGGTTATGCACCGGTAATGATGCCTGAGGAGAGAATTCACAATCAGTTCAAGCCGATTCAATAAGCAAACCATAAGGACAAGTAATGAAGGTCCTTGCTAGCCTACCCTTCCTGCTGCCTATGGTAATGGAGAGGAGGACAAGAGAAGGTGCTAAATGACTGCCAAAGGATGTTTTGCATGGCTGGCTGCTGCTGATGGCCTCACTGAAAACACCTGTATTACTCCCTGGCTATACCCTGCCAAGGACTCAGTTCTCAGAAAAAACTGAACTCAGAGAAGTTCTTGATCCTTGCAGAAAGTTTAAAACCAAGTCCAGGCTCTGTGGATATTACCTAGAGCCTAAAGCTGTATTTTAATTTCTTTTGTACAAGTAAGAGAATCCTGCACTTTGGCACACAATCTTCTCTTGACAATCCAACAAAACCAATCTCCAGAGTACAAAGGCAGAGGTCAAGAAGGGGTGAGGTAATGTGGAGACTGGATATAAAGCACAGGACATGAAGAACAGTTAAGGCCATTGCATACTTCCAATAATTTCCAAGTTTAGCCCTTTCCTTCCTTAAAAGAACTGCAACATTTGAAGTTTGGAGCATATTTCATCACCCACAAGGTTTCTCAGGTAGAGAACAAGAAATAGTACATGCAGCAGAGCTGCCTGAAAACACTGAAAACAGGAAACCCAGTGGAAGTTACTGCGACAGTCAGCACTACACCTACTGTTAACTTCACTTTTCAGCACTGACAGACTTTTAAAGTGGCTGCTCACAGAACCATCATTGAAACAGGTTTCTCTGTATATTAAATATATGATATCCTAAACACCCATACATTCCATGGCGAGACTAGGGAAGACAGTAAAATCTGCACTACACCTTTCTCAAACGTCCTCCCAGATCACTCAGCCACATTTCATCCCCAGAGATGATGGAGCAATGGAATCTACACTCGTACATGAAAAGGAAAGGGTGCCTGGCAACTTACTCTATCTGCTTGTGGCCCCTGCTCCAGAGCCACTGGCTGGGGGGGATCAGCAACGCTGCCGAGCACAGACAGGTTGGTGGGATTCATGCTCTGAGCAGCAGCAGGCAAGAGCACCGTTACCTAAAATCACAGGCACTCATTTTAGCACTGCAGCATTTCCATCAGTCACTTAACACGTGGGCAGGGCCCGGCATGCACAGCTCCCTTGAGCCCTGCACTCTACTCAAAAACTGCTGCATTCCCATCATTTTTGGGGTTCAAATAGGGATAATGGGCTTGGACAGAACCTGCAGCTTCTGCGGCAAAGGGAAAGACTTAAAATCTATAGACTTTGTAAATTCTAAATTACCTATTACCTATTTTTAAATTAAGGTCCCGGGTTCAATTGCACTAAAAACAGATGTTCGAAGCTCTTTAGCATTTGGTAAAACCAGTGATTTGGGGTCTCTTTTCCTCTATACCCAAATTTACTTTCATTTTCAAGGGAAAAGGTAAAGAAGGACTAAAAAACATTTCCTCATTTTTTGACTTTTTCTTTCTTCAACCAAACCTTGCTGATGGCTGAGAGGTTTAGAAGTAGATAAGCTTTAAGATCCCTTCCAATCCAAATAATTCGATGATTCTATGATCCAGGCCCCATAAAAACCAAGATGGTGTATTGACCTCATGAGATGATCAACCTCTCAAAAAAGAGGTTCCCAACAATTATTTTTCTTTACATTTGGTCAAACTATATATTTTTGTTTACATACTTTTTTTTGGTGCTGTAACAAGCAAATTAATGCATATTACATTGTTTTCATCCATTCAGCAAGAAAACAAAGCACAACTAAGGAATCACCTTATTTGTGCTTTGCTTTACTGCTGAATCCCTAGGAATCACCTTTCCTGCCTTTTGTTTCCTGCTTATCTATACAGGAATTTGCACCATTATTTCACGTGACTTTTCATCCTTCTCTACAGCTGATATCGTGTGGCGTCTAGTCTGTATCTCTGACTGCGAAGCAGCTTTTTTGCTAAAATCCAAGCTCTTGCCTCTCTGCAGAGTGCTTAATAAATATCAGATAAAACTGAGAACAGTGCATTGGGCCAGTAGCAAGGGAGCAGACAACAAAATTCATAATGTAAGCATTCGGTCTTAGTACTCCAAACTAGTTGCTTAGTTTAAAGAGGTATTAAGAGTATTTTATGAAACTCCTGAAAAACAACAGCAAAAAGACTTCAAGGAATGGTGCAACAGTGAGGATGAAACCACCATGACAGTCTGGTACTGACACTTCTGTAGCCAGTTGGCAACAAAGAGGCATCATTATTCCTCCAGTGTGCCAGCAAGGATAGGGTCATACAGATCTGGATCTATTTGTACCCCTATTAGCATTGCCTACTACTAATGACACCAAACATACCCTTACTTGCACTTCCATGTCAGGCACTGCATGGATTATGGGCATTATTTTTAAAAAACTCTCACTTGCTTTCTACAATAAAGTTTCTTCTGAAAGACAAGAGGAACTTTTATTATTATTTTATCATTAGTTGTCAGTTCAGGGATGTCCCACATGAAATGCTGCTGTAAAAACAGCTGCACAGGCAGAAGTTGATATAATGAGGGATCACCAAAAAATTAATATCTATGTTAGGACTGCTATCAGACTGTGTTGGAATGGAGGACAGGCTGAGGACAAGGCAAGTGCTTCTGGGATAATAACAGCAGATCACCTGTGTTGGAATTCCCATCTGCACGGTGTACAAATAATCTCTAATTAATCATACATTTGTTAAATGAGCTTTAAGACAATTAAATAAGAATTTCTCGCTTTTTAATGCAAGGAAATGGATGGAGCAAAAAATTCAAGAGCAAAACTCCAGAGAATAAGAAGAATGAGAAGACAGGCAACACCTTTATTGTGTTAGTCGTTGCTTTCCATCTGTGCCTCAACCATTTAGAAATTTTGTTTTCAGCACAGATTCAATCTCTCACTCTGCCCCAAGACTGTCAATAAACACACATTTTAATGATGGCTTTGGTGATGATTCAGAACTAGTACATCCATTCACACATGTCATTAAAGACCCACCAAGCAGTAATGATTTTAAGTCTATGACAAGCAGAGAATTCCAACCAGAGACCTGAAAGCACCTGTCTACAGCTGATTATCACAGCGCAGTCCCCAAAGATACCAGTAAGAGTTAATAACAACTTCCCCATCCATGATGGATGTAAAAAGAATAGGAAAAATCATCCTAACCTTATAAACACAGCCTGCAGTTTTATTTTTTTCCCAGCCCACCTCACACTGGCAAGCCCACCACCCCTGACAGGGGAGCCAGTCACTGAACTTCTTCAGGTTTCATACTTAATTTCCTGTGACATTTCTAGTAAATCTAGAATTTAATCTAATTTTTCTATCCCTCAAAAGCCTTCTGTGGACTCCAAGGCATTTGGATCAGAACCTGTAAGAGGACAACTAAAAATCCCACCTTTCCAAAATGACACATTCAGATGACATCAGCCACATCTGCTGCAGGGACACTGCTGAAAGATTTTTTCATGCTATCTGGGGCAGTAAATTAGAATTTTTGCTGAATATGAATTAAAGAGAATAAACTCAAAATAATTCTTAACTTTTACTGTCACTCATGCTCAAGGCAGTCATTGGCCTTGATCAGGATAAGAGTACAAGACTAAGATTGTCACTGGACAACTTCAAAAACAGCTCATTACCCTCCTGCATCACATGAATGTCCCTTTACCTTCCCTAACTGTTCCCTCACAATTTTAGGCCCAAAATGAATAATATCTCTTCCTTACCTGCTGGGTGGTAGCATCCTGTTGGACGTAAGCCACTTGGGACGGATCTGTAAACAGAGTCTAGACAGAGTGAAAAAGGCTTACCAAACCAGCCATGGGGGTTTTTACTCCCAACTCACACAAAAGTTACCCTGCCATTATGAAACAACCCACACTTGAGCCTTAGTCAACAGCTTCTAACCTGCCCATTATCACCGCAAACTACTTCAACTTATCCAAATAAACCTATATACATGGAAATTTAAAATTAGGTAATGCCCCATAAAGAGTTAATGTATTTATGTGGCACTTTGCATCTGTACAGCTAAAGTGTTTCACAGATTTTATTTTTTTTTATTTACCAAAATCACTTTGTCAGTTGTTGATTTGATAAAATCTGTAGGATGAAATTCAATAGCTCTATCTATGCCCTTAATGTGTAACACTTAAAAGCAGGATAGAAAGTAACTGTGAGCTTTTTCTTCCTGAAAATTTACAACTATCATGCACATCCTATACAGGAATTTGAGATGGCCAGGATGCTGTTTAATTTCAGAGAAGCCATGCCAACTTCAGTATTCTGCAAGAACAGCCCTGACAGAATCCCAGGAAATTCAAGACTAAGGATTGACTGAGGCCAGCCTGCCTTAGCCAAAACTTGAGATATCTGAGCTTGCAGCAGCCTGGCTACAATAAAATAAAGCATGATATAATACAAATTCCTTTAGCATTGTAATAATTTCATCTTAGATGCAGAAGAGTGTCTAAATACTACATATCTTTTGCGACAATGGCTGCATTTAGAGTTTTGGAGTTAGTTGGCCAGTAACTTCCTGATAGATATGCTCTCAGGACATCCCTTCACACAGAAGCTGGTTTTCTGGGACAGCTGACAGGTGCACAAGACACAATGTGCCATATGAGGCCCTGCCAGCACAACAGGGGTGCCAGGGACGTGCACTTTGCAGCACAGCTAATCTGCTCTGTCAGCAAAGATATTATAAAACACTCTGGACAAAGCGAGCCTGTTCCTTTTTAATCTGTCCATACAGAAGCAGAGATGCATAGCATATTGACCCCATACAAACATATGCTGCAAGGAATAAAGGCTGTTTGATAGGATTAAGCAGAAGAAAATTAATATAAAAGATCTATAAAATCAGCAACTCTGCAGAGACCACAAAATTACGTTGAATAAACAGAGATTCTCTGCAAAAAGACATGACTGTTATTGTAACTATCAATTATGACAACTGTACTACACAAAACAAAGACTCTTCCAGAAGGACTATAGATAGCTCTTAGCTTTTTACTGGATACAAGAGGCAGAACTTCTGGTGAATTATCCATGTTCTGGAAAACACCTTTGAGTAAATTATAATCTCATCCACCTTCAGTGAAATAGCCAGCATTTCATTAATCATAGCCTCACCATCCTTTGACAAGCAGATTTGCACATTAGACAAATGAACAGCATGAAGTCCCTGCTCAGCAGTGGGCAGAAAAAACTGCTGGGAGCGACTGCCTGCTATTTTCCAGTCATACCACTTGGCTGGTAACTGGCCTTCATCCCAAACAAGATTGTTGTGTTTTCTAGGTGCCAAAACCAGGGTGGGCTCAGAACCACACGTGCCTGCGTAGCTTCCACGGGGTGGATGTAAACCAGGGTGTGCTCCGAGGTGTCCACAGAGGTGTAGGAGGTGCCGTCAGCCGTGTAAACCACCTGCTGGGCAGGGCCGCGCTCCTGCTCGTCACTGTACATGATCTGGGCCACCGCTCCCCCCTCGGGGACAAAGTGCACCTGGGGAACAAACAGATCCTGGACTCGCACCAACACAGGCCAGTGGGACACAGCACCAGAGTCACGGGGTGCCTTGGAAAGCAGAGACAACTTGTGTCCCAACTCAGCTGAATGCAGTGAAAAACACAGATTTCAAATCTCACTCAATTATTCTATCAGTAGAAATCTGGACACAACTCCCATCAGTGTCTGGTTTTACTTTACTGCTACAAAGGGCACCCACCCATACTTAGTTCTTGCATGATGCTTCAGAAATTTGTAAGGGAACAAGTTCATATTTGATATTAAATGTATTGGGCTATTGTTTCCCTTTATGCTCATATCCCTTTCAGTAATTATTTCATTCAGCTAGTTCTGTAGCTGGAGGTAATTTCTGCTGTCTGATGAGAGGCTAATGGAATTTGTTAACTCTGATACTCCTCAAGATATAGCATTGCAGCTCTCAAAGTCAGCAGTAGGGCATATTAGACTGCTTCTCTGTGGTATGTATATGCAGCATCAGCAGAAAATTCAACTATTTAAACAGACAAACCTATACCTAAAAACATTAAGCACAGATTCCAAGGACTACTGGAACAAGTTATGTCTAGGGCTGAACTTTAAATCTAAACAAGTCAATTTTACCAGAACATTATTATCATAACTGATGATCATATAAAAATTATATATACATATATATACATATATACATATATACACATATATACATATATATATATAAATGAGCCAGAATACTGGATTCCAGTGAAAACAGGCTCTTGCCATCATTTACATGCTGAAAAGCATTTTCAGTGCATGGGAAAAATAGGACAGTGAGCAGGAAATCTAGTTTGAATACAAGTATTCATAGTCACATAAAATTCTTTCATATAAAATGATACCACAGTTATATATTTTATTTTGTTTCAGTTTTTAGCTTATGCTTCAGAAGACACCTGGTATTCCTCCATGGATGCTCAGTGTGGATTGTGTACAATAGATCTTCTCACAAACACTATAATTTCACATTTGGAAAGCTCTCTGCAAATACTCATTAAGCCTTAAAACCGCCATGTGCAAAAAGCAGCATGGTTATCCCACTGCAGAGAGAAGGGAACACAGGCCATTGAAAACTGCCTTTCTCTGCAAATTTTAAAGCTGGAAATTACTAAGAGACCAAATTTCTCAGCTTGTGGGTCAAATACCATGCAGCACCCTTTTTCTATCATATTTAAAAGAGTAAATCAATTTACAGAATTCTAGAAATTCCCAGCTGTGTTGTCTCAGGCAGAGGCAGAGGGTCAAGCTGTATACTGCAGAACCTGAAAGAATTAAAACTGCAGAATTAAAACTGCATTAGTCACTTACAATTAATATTTCTCCTTTCCTCACTATCCAGATGTCTGTCTGGAAAAAATTACTCGTATTACTTTCCCCATGGTCCACCCACAGTTCCATCTGATTCAAATGATGCCACCAAAATCGGCTGCCACAGAGCAAGATTTTGCTCATTACTCTGAACACCCTTTACTCTCCCACATGGTAATAAATGTATTTGGATACAAACTTCTACAGCCACTGCTTAGTTTTGTTCAGCTCATTTCAGAGCTCTGTGTCTTCACTGCTGCGGTTTGCACAGTTCAGTTTCTGAGGCTTTAACCCTAAATCCCCACAGAAATGTTTGTATTTCTGCTCAAACGAAAGCTGAGCTTCTAGACTCTAAATCAGGGCTGAATGGGAACTAACCCGCCCCACTAATCCCAATCCAGCCCAAGCAGAGGTGGAGCTCTGGCTAATCACCTGAGCAGTGTGCTGTTCCTGTCCTGCAGACTCAGTCCACACCTGAGGACTTTCCTCTTTCAAGTCCATCTCCTCCCTGCCTGTGTGCTCCATGAGGAGAAGGAGACCTACTGGAGTAATATCTGGCTGAAGGGATTCATCTGTTCATTGTGTTTCTGCTTCCAGAAGACAAGGTGATCTTCAGCAACATGGCTGTAAAAAACCAGAGAACAGAGGCATTAAAACCAGCATGACACATGGCATGGAGCTATGATGAATTTATTATTATCCAGTAACACAGACTAAAGCAGGTTTGGCTTTATTAACACCTCCTACAAGACCCAAATACCTTAAGTTATGGGAGCAAGGGAACAGAAATCTGATCTCACTGAGCATGGTCAAGTCCTACCATTTGCCACTTTCCATATCCCATTAATGAGGAAACAAATCAACCATTGCACCACTTGCACTGAAAGATTACACTGAATTCTTCCTTCATCTCTTTCCTTGGCCACAGGCCATCCACATCACCTTCTCCTTGTTGTCCTTCTGGCAGTTACAGGCCTAGAAATCAATATATAATGCAAAAAATGGACCTGAGGCTTCCAACAAGAAATCACTATGTTCACAGATGCATCACCAGTTCCTCAGTTTGCCTGAATGATGTTTAGTTTGATCACCAACAGGTTTTCCATGTACAGACAGATTTGACCTTGGACAAAACCCCAGTCCCAGGTTAGCAGAGTGTTACAAGAGCCAACTACTAAAAGGGAACAATGAAACTTCAACTCTCAAAGATCCCGACAAACTGCTTCCAAGCTTGGTTTTATTCACCTCTTGCAATTTTACTGGGGCCTCTCAATCTCCATGGTGATCCCAGAAGGGGAGTTTACAGCTCTGGCGATTGTTTGAGTCAGTGGTTCAGCACCCTCCCATTCTTCGTCTCTAATGTCGTATTAAATCATAGGCCAGGAATTAGCATGAGGCTGAGCCCATTTCATTTCTCAGCTACTCCAATTAACTTTATTTTATATCCAGTGCCTTGCTGGGCTGATCCAATGCCAGTACCCATCTGTGCACCAGGAAGGAAGCAGAAGGCTCCTTGCTGATGCTTTCATTCATTTGCATTTTAAATGCAAATTATTTTAGTCATAATTTATCCCTATAAATGCTAGCATTCGGCTTGTCATTGACAAACTGAAAAATAGATAAGGAGAGGTAAAAAAAGCAGCAGGCACTTTATAAATCCTCCTAATTCTGCCAGCAAGGATTAAGCTATGCAGACCTGAGCACCGACTGTTCCACTGGGCCTGGCCAGCACGGATAAATCATCAGGGCAGGGAAATCTCAGGCTAATGTCACTGAACTGTGCGGTGGAGCAAAGAAATCACATTACTTACATATACACAAAGAAAAACAGTGGGAAAGACATTTCTGGGCATTGCTAGACACCAAGTTTTGCTGTTACTGGTGACTGGAGTTAACGCTTGCTGTCTCATGCTGAGCAACCCAGCACATGGGACCCCCACAAAAGCAGACACTGAGGAAATGTTCTGACTTTCTCTTATATCTGAACATCTCCAGTTATGAGAATATAGGGACAGAAACCTCATCTCCATTAATACTGCTTGATACAAAACATCACCAAAAAGCACTTAGGAGAAAAATTAAAACAAAATCTATGTACCAGCATTCAATGCCTGAGCTTAGTATGAACAAATTAACTGCAGCAAACATGAGTGATAAAGACCAGCCTTGTCTTCAAAGTATGGAAGGTCAGGGCAATTTACAGATAAATATTATTTATTTATATATTCAAGTGCACACATGCTCTGATCTATAAATAAATACCATCCATCCCTACATAGAACCTTTCTCCCAGCTACTTGTTATGTTATTAAGGATTAAAAAGTTGGGAATTTCCCATATCTTATCCTACCTCATTCACTGATCTCCTTTACTCATTTTATCAGGTATAGGTTCTTTATTCAGAATATATAAATATATACATATAGCAGGTATATGATCGCCTCTACTCATGCGAAACATGGCAGCATTTATGTCAGTAACACACTGTGAACAACTTCTTTGCAAAATGTAACACCTATCCTGTTGCTATTTTTCAGCTGGTTTATCCACAACAGCTATTTTCCTAGACAGCCAGTATTAATCAACAGCCAATTCATGTAATTGCACTAACAGTAGCCAGTAGTTTAATCAATTACCTAACTGCTTAGAAAACTAAAAATAAAAAACAAACATTAGAAGTTTCAATTTGGGGTAGTTTGACTTTTTAAAACAAATACAATTATCCTGTTAAAAAGTAAGCAATTACATTACTACTAATTGAATTAAGAGAAAGGCTCAGTTCTGGCTAATTCCACATGGTGCAACCTGTAGCAGAATTTTTGGCTGACCTTCCCCACGAGCAGACAATGAAGGTCTGAAGGAAGATGCTGACTCACTCCTGCAGAGTCATTTTGGCACAGATAACTTACAACTTGAGTACAAAGGAGACTGAAGGGTTCAGGCAGGGTCTTTAAAAGACAAAACTGGGAATTAAGAATCATCTCTGAAAAAAGAAGTACCCAAAAAGTTGCAAAGGAAAGTAGAAGACAGTCATTTCATGGTTCTGATAGTTAGCACTAACTTATAATCTTGGGGGAAAATAAAGCAAGGCTGAACCAAATTCAGTGTCCCAGTGCTGCAGATTCTGTAAACAGTCCAGTTATTGCTATTCCTGACAGAAATGAAAATAAGAAACAGTGCAGCCCAGCCAATTGGGCAGCAATAAGGAACAATAGTAAGAACCACAGGCTTTGCTGATGTTTTCAACTTCTGTACTTCCAAGTTCATCCGAGGATTGATCTCTGGTATGCATTCCCTCAGTACATCTGTAATCCTGAAAACACACTGAAAAGCACATTTCCCTGGAAACATGGATGTGCTGAGAAAGAAGACAACGCAGGAGGAGACAGGCTGTGTCCCAGAGAGGTCACAGGGACCCAGAGGGGCAGGAGGCAGGAGCAAGTGTTGAAATTCAGCTGTGAAACAAGGCCAGGAGCTGGAAAAATCTTACCCAAAGTCACTGACAATAGAACTGCCACAAACACCAACACCTGAGCAAGTTTTCTGACACCAATGACAAGAAGACCAAACTAACAATGCTCACTGATCTTTCATAGGATGCTCCTCCTCATGAATCCTGCACAATCTTATTTCCTACCCTAGATACACTCCCTCAATAGCCATTACAGCCCTGACACTGACAGCCCACAGTGTCTTGAAATGTTTGAGACCATTTCCCTGAGATCTTCTCTCAGCTTTCGTAGTTTTTTAGCAGAAATAAATGTGAAACTTTGGACATAAGCATTGTCAAATCACTGGCATGCAGGGAGTGCTCTCTGCTTGCTCTCCACACTCTTTGCCCATGGATTATCTTTGGCAATTGTTGATTTTTCTCACTGTATTGAACACATCAGACATTTTCAGACAAGCTAAATAAACACCAAGACATGCACCTCAATGGGAAGCTCTGCTGCGTCAAAGGGATTACCATAAGAATCTGTGTAACAGAAATTGAAACTCAATTGCAGAAATCCTAAAAGAAGAAAAGATAATTAAAGATAAAAGGCATTGTAATAGGATGAACTCAGTTTTTTTCTCATTATTCAGAAAGTAGGCTACATTTTGTAAGAAAAATCCATGTAGAAGTTTAGTAAAACAGTAATCTAAACAGCTTGCTTAAACTCATGTTAAATTTACATGTTATGTATGTCACAACTATATTCTCTCCACTATAAGAGGCCTGGCTCAAATATAATTGAAAATTTTTTTCTAAGTTCTTACTTTTCTGGAAGTAGAGAGATTTGGTCATTATGAAGAGATTTAGAATTATGAAACATCACCCAATAATCACCCAAAATTCCACCAGCACCCCAATGTTTTCATACAATCCAAGGAGCATCACAAACATGAGCAATAAGCAATGCCAGTGGGAGCTGCTAAAGCATTTGCAGTGACTGCAGATGCAGCATTTTCCTCCCCAAATGACAGGCATGCCTCACCCTGCCTGTTCTGGGTGATGACACAAGCTGAAACAGTAACAGGCACAACTAAAGGGTACCAATATAGTGCAGTGGTGAGGCAGTGACAGCCCTGTGTCACTATATATTGTGTGAATCACGACACAACACGATTGAAGAACCAGCACAGATCCTCTGACTGAAATATCTCCTCTAGTGGAACCTTAGCTCATTCTGAGCTGCTCAAGTAAATTAACCATCCCTTCAGGATAACACAGGTTTGTCTCAGAACACCATTCACATTTACCTTCCTTTTCTCAACACCTTCTGGGACCTGTTGCTGTCACAGACCTACAGCCATCTCTCTTTAGGTTTTACACTTTACATCCAATCCAGAAAATGTCATTAATGACAAAATTTCTCCTCTGCTGCTCCTGATGCCTCAAAAGCATCTTGGTGTCATTGTCTGACAGTTCTTTTTTTTTTTTTTTTTAATCATGCCTAAAACCTCCTTTTGACCTTGGCAACTCTCTCCAACTCCTCCCTCCTGCTCCTGTGGGACGGTGTTTTCTCTGGAGCTGTATTATTAAATCAGCAGCTTCCCCATGAACTGCATTCAGTTCCAGAGGATGGGAAAGCACTGCTCAGAGGGGCAAAGCACCTCATTTGCCTACCCAACAGCAATGTCTTCGTTAGCTCTGCTGCCTCAGCATTAGACACCCTGAGCCGCCACAGCCCCATGTGTGTCCCCTCACAGCTGCATGCATGATCCCCCCACCAACACTCAAGAGTGAACAGTGCTGTAAGAGAAAACCACTAACAGAAAAGTCACTGCTGCTTTGTGTTTGGTATCCAAGTGTTTTAAACACAAGTTAAACCCAGTGAACTCATCTAGGGCTTCAAAGGTAACCTCTGAAAGTCAGAAAGAAAACCCACAAAAAATTAGAATCAAAAAGAAATGTATTTTCTTGGCAAACTTGCTATTAAAGAATGGCAATTTCTTTCAATACTATGACTACACAAGCATGTACAGAGACAAAATCTCTGGGGACTTCATCTGCAGCAACCTCTGTGAGGTTCACTAAGGGCATTCTGCTGAAAAATCCAAGCCAGTGGCTGCCAAACACTCATTTTTGCCCCTTCTCTGGGATGAGAAAGGGGCATATTAAAGCAGAGGAAGGGGAAAAGACCACCTCCCTGCTCAGGGAGGAATAAAGGCACTCAGTATCTCAAACGAGAATGCTCTTTACAATAATGGTGCATAAGCCAGCTAATGTGATTTACTCCCCAGTGTAAAAAAGCCTTGCCATAGCCTGAGGTTCCCTGCAGCAATAACAGCAGGGACTATTGGCTAAATCCTCCCGCGGCTGAGCTCACTGACAACTCTGTGTCACCCCAGCCATGGGCAAGGGCACCAAGATTGGTACAAAAGGAGTTTTAGGATTCTGAGCCTTCCTCCAGCTTTTAGTATGAAAATGATTTATGATGCTAAAAAGGAACATCACATTTGCCAGCAAAAAGCTTTACCCACACTTAATTATCCTAGTTTGCCTAGAAGGCAGAGCCAGTGCATTTCCTGAGATCCTTTAGCAGGAACATGCTTTCACTGCTGCAAGAAGGTTTCTAACCTCCTTGAGGAGGACTGTTGTCACCTTTTCTGCATTCCCATTCATCACAGGCACATGCTGTTTCAAGGAGCTCTGGTCCTGGTGCATTTTGTGTGAACGGTATCAATCAGGTCACATAAAACTACATTTTTTATGTTTTACTGGAGAGTTAAAAATGGAAATCATACTAGGGCTGGGACAGCAAGAATTATTGATCTCCACAAAGGAAAAACTGGCTTCAATTTATTTTGTCATATAATAAATAGAAGAGCTCAGCCAAACACCAAGTTACTCTTTGCTGCCATTGTACATAATGAATCTATCTCCTTATGGCACATCCATCATCAAAGCAACAATGAGCTGGAACTCTTAGACCAAGGCCAGACTGCTCGACATGGCAGTTCCAGCCCTTTTCCTAAAGGGACAGTGCCCAAGCACTGAGGGTGACAGCACAACAGCCTGATGTAACTATTCTCTCAGAACTTATCGGGTAAGTAGCTGAAGATCCACTTCTAACAGAGAACACAGGAGAGAATCCAGCCTGAGCACAGGTTAATATCCTCCTGGGAGCTACCTAGGCTGTGTTCAGATACCTACTCAGAGATGCTCCAAGGACATCTCTCTTGAGTCCTAATTTTTGTATAATAAAGTATTTCTCACACTGTCCTCTCTCTCAGTGGGCAAAGACTCAACTTCATTACTTTCTACATATGCAAATCTCTTCTTTAGTCACCTCTCTTCCCATTTGCTCAACATCTACATAGCCACTCCAGCAACTGATTTCTTCCTCCCACCCTCAGCTTCCCGAATCTCTGGCCATGTTCCTCATGTTCTTGTCTTCCCAATGTTTAATCCTCTGAGGTCCCTGTGATATCATGGTTGTTGAATCACATAGTGCAGTTTTTGGGCTCCAGCTGCTCGAGACAATGACCGTGCCTTCCTAAAGGACTTGGATTATAAATCACAAAGAGAGAAGTCTGATAAAGCAAGGAAATTGAATACATGCATTTAAAGTATAGGACGACACAAAAGGAAGAGAAATGTCTGTATCAGTGTCTTCTACAGTTCTGCCCACACAACCTTCAAGATGGCTCTATTAGGGGTTACTGAAAGAAAATAAACCATTCCCCTCCAGCTTCTTCCTGACAGTTTTTTGTCTTCCATCCCTTCTCCTCCTCCAGTAAACTCTTTCCAAAAGAGCTGTCAGTTGAAGGGGATTCTTTCCTTTCCTACAAGTGGGTGGTGCTTCCTCTCTCCTTCTCCCACCCCCCTGCACCTCTCCTCAAAATTTAAATCACCTGTCCAAAAATTCAAAAAAATAAACCTACTTTGTTTCTGCACATAAAAACACATACAAGATAGCTCCTTCAGAATAGCTGCTGCTCTGCACTACCCCAAAGAACCAATGGATTATCTGCACCTTCAAACAGGTGGGCACTGACATATAGAGCCATTTCAGGGCTACAATACAACAACTGCACGTTTGACTAGCAGGAGATAAAGGTGACAAACAGACCCAATCTCATGGTCAGGTCCAAACAAAATTCAGCATACAAAACCAACCCACTTAATCAGATACACTTCGAAATCCATTAATCCATTAGAATTCAGTGTACATAGCTGCCAGCAGTGCAGGTGGCCAGGAACACACTGGGAACAGCTGCTCACTACAGAGCAATTTACCCCAGGAGAGCTCATCCAAGGATTTTCTGCAAAGGATAGGATTAAGGGTGCCAGAAGAGAACAGACAATACCACAGACCCATTTCTCTCTAAAATCAAATTGTCAATTATTCTATCAGATAACAATAATAACAACTACTCCGATATTTTATCTTATAAAAAAATATAATAAAGCTGTCTCTTTTTGCACAAGAGAAGCATCCATGAAGCAAAAATGTCAAAAGCCATCACAATTTCAGAGAGAAGTTTTCCATTTAAGGACAGACTAGAGCAATACACACTCCTGTATTAGTTTTCCTAGAAATGAAGGCATTAGAAGGCTCAACACTGCCAATTATTTTATTGTATCCACAAAAGATGCAAAGAATCCTCTTGTAAAATCAGTTGGTGATTCATTAGCATCTCATCTTCTAACTGAACTATAAGAAAGAAAAAACTAAATTATTAAAAATCTGACAGAAGAAAGCAAAAGTTCAGTATAGTCTCTATTCCCACTGAAACTCACAGGGAAACATTGATAGGTATTTCACACACCCAGCTTTGCACTCTGATCATTCTTTAAAGGCCTGTAAGAACCGTAAATATATAACCATATAGTGATACACTAGATAGGATGCTGAGGTACAAAAAAGTGCATCACAAATACAGACCCTTCATTTCACTGTCAGGACTTTGACTACTGTCAGTAGCCTAAAGCAAATTTAAATTGCAATTTAGGGATCCTGTAAGAGCACTCCTCAGGCTCTGCAATGTCCAGCTGAGAGCTAAAAGGTGACCACACATAGCTCTTGTACAGGGAAATAACCCTAAAAAATGTGAATTATCCCTTTAGGATGAGTAATTCTGACACGCACAGCATCAGGACCTCATTCTTCCATTCCAACTCAACTATTTAACAAATTCACATAAACTCACTTTTAATGAGCTGGGGCACAGGAGGGGAAACAGGACAACTCAACACCAACACCCACAAAACAAGAGAGCCACCAGATCAAGTATCCACTTGCTACAACCATACCAAGACCACAGGAACCAGGTTTTTGGCACAAGACCACTGTCAGGAGACCCGTGACCCCACAGCTTCCACCTGCCTCAACTGCTGCTACTCGCACCAGGGCCTTCGTGAATGGAACTCCCTCAGGGCAGCGGGGAAGGGCCTAACTTCCCTCAACACCAAGCCTCAGGGCCACCCAGCCAGGAGCCTTGGCCTGTTGGGGCCACACAGATGCCCAACAGGCCCGCTGGGGCAAGAGACCCTCATGAGGGTGGAACGGGCAGAACGCAGCGCACCACGGCCCCTCACAGGGTCCACTGGGGGTCCTGCACCCACACCCCCGATAGAGTCGCCACGGCCACCAACAGCCAATCCGAAGACGGGGTGAGTCGCCCCCTCCCCTAACTAGGCCAATAGGAGGCAGGGGCGCGAGGCATGTGGCCAATCGGCAGGCGTGAGT